ATCAGCTTGTCGCAAGGCCTCTACCTGTAGACAAGCACAGAAAAACGCACACAAACATCCATGCCCTGAGTAGGATTCGAACCCACGATCTCAGCTTCCAAGCGAGCGAAGGCAGTGCATGCCTTAGACTGCTCGGCTACCGTGACCAGCTCTATTACAGTTTAGTGGTTATGAATTAAATTCTGATTTAAAGTAGGAGTTACATTTGACTGATGCAAAGAAAACTGAAATTTGTCTTATAACTTCAAGCGTATCTTCCCCAATAATAGCTTTAATTGAAATTAATTCAGTAATTCAAATGTAGGCATAAATGGGAGGAGAATGTTACAGTGGATGTGATGTTAAAGGAAGGGACTGTGTCTGTGTGAACTTAATTTGACTTGCCAAGACTGGGATTCTGTGGCAGGCTGTTGTGAAAATGATAATGCACCTTTGGTTCTGTAAAAGGTGGAGACTTTCTTTACCAGCTGACTAACCGTTGGCTTCTCAAGGAAGAATTTTCCATTGAAACATAGATAAGACATGATGTCCCATTTACAAATATGAGGGTCGTACTGAAAGTCATGAGCAACAATTTTTTTGTAAAGTAACATACATTATTATTGACAAACCAAATACACCACCTCAGTCTACAGTCTTTTCTTTATTTTTCCACATAATCGACACTTATTTATACACATTTCTCCCAGCGTTCTGGGAGTTTGAAAATTCCCCTTCTGTAAAATTCTGTTCCAGCCATCCGAAGACACTGACACACTGCTTTCTGAATTGCCTCCCTTGTCTCAAAACGTCCACGCAGCTGATCCTTCACAAATCCGAAAAGATGGTAGTCTGAGGGTGGCAGATCAGGGCTATAGGAGGGGTGTGGAAGAACTTCCCACCCCATCTTTGCAATTGCTTCCAATGTGAGGCGAGTGGCGTGGGGGTGAGCGTTGTCATGCAAGATGAAAATGTTTTCATCCCGGACTTTTATTGTGCAATGCATGGCGGAGCTTATGCAGCATCTGGACATAACGAGCAGCATTGATGGTTTGCCCAGGTTCCAGGAATTCGGCCAGAATAAAACCCTCTGCATCCCAGAAGACTGTGCCCATCACCTTTGCAGCTGATGGCACTGTCTTTGCCTTCTTTTTTGATGGAGAATGCAAATGGTGCCATTCCATACTCTGCCATTTCGTTTCAGGCTTGAAATAGTGAAACCAGCTTTTGTCACCTGTCACAATACAGAGCAAAAAAACCATTGCCTTCATGTTGATATCTTTGCAGTAGTTCTGAGGTGATGGCTTTTCGCTGACCTTTATGGTCTTCAGTCAATAATGCGGGACCCAACCAGCCTGTCATCTTCAATGATCTCATCCACTCTTTCCTTGTTGCATTCAGTTGAGGCTGTTCGAGGATAACTGCTCCGAGGCTCATCTTCGATGTTGGTGTTCCCATCTTTAAAATGTTTCGCCCATCTTTGAACACTGCTCGCACCCATGCACACACTTCCCATAAGCATGCTGAAGTCTCTGGTGAATTTCTGCAGGAGGGATTTCCTCTTTCACAAGAAATTTGATGAGAGCATGCTGGCAAAACGACATATCGTTGTCGGCCATTTTGTTAGGAGTGATACTGGTCATGTGATGCAAGCTATTGATGTCATGAGAGACAACAGTTGGTTCCACCTGCCACCATACTCTCTTTCGTCTGCTGTTCCCAGGTTGCATGCAAAAAAAAGTTGCTCATGACTTTCGGTACAACCTATGTACATCTTATGCGCTGTATGAAGAAAAAACATTATGATTAAACATGACCTGCTTCACACACAGTGTCCAAAATAATGTTTAAGGTGATGATGATCCCAATACCTTACCAGAAGAGGAAGTGGATGATGTAGAAACAGTTCAGGCTGAACAGTCTCCTCTTGGCAGTGAACCGAAGTCCCCTGGGCATGGTATGGCAACTGGTACCTCTTCTCAGAGGAGCAAAGACTTGGGAGGTGCTTTTGAAGCTGGGAGAAGTAACACAGATAGTAGTTTCATACATGGAGAGGGGTGTATACACAGGGATGACAAGGCTCGAAAATTAACGTCACATTGCAAGGTAAGTACCTTTGTATGAAACAGTGTGGTACATTGTTTCAAGAAACAAAACTCTTTCATGAGAATTTTGTTTCTAAGCCAACAAATTGGCTTATATTGTGATTTATAAAGTTGTAATCTTAGACAGGGTACCATTATCCGAACTGGCATATTTTGTACTTTTCTTCAATTCCTCAAAGCAAACAGTACAGTAATACACCATGACTGCCTCATTCAAAATTCCTCTCTGTTCACCATAATATGTAATCCCATCTCATTTCATGCAGGCAGAACAGTATTGTTAAGTATCCCAAGAATCATGAAGCTTCCTATATAAGTGAAATTTGAAGTTCTCATAGCAGTGACTATGAAAACTATTATCTTCTGGGATTTAACTCCACATAGTTTAGTAGATATTTACCAACTTCTCTCCAGAATGTTACATAATATCTACCAGACTACATGGTGTCACGTCCCAGAGGACAACAATCTTCAGCTTTGTGTAAATTTTATTTCTGTTGCTATACAGGTATCAGATATGAGTGTGGATTCTGTTGTGTGGCTGTCCCATCGTTTGGGACCTGTTCTCACAGCACGTCATCTGTCTCGGAATCTGCTACGCATGTTGACACTCTGCTACCTAGGTCGGGAAAATCTTTCTCCTCCGCTGTCTGATGAGAATGCTTGCCAGGATAATCTTGATGTTCCCACAATTAGTATCTACAAAGGAGCAGTAATTGGAGACCAAAATGCAATCAAAGTATTGGAATGCCTTGCCTCAATTGCAGGTTACTATAAGTGATAATACATCATGACTTTCTTTGCCTCTGTAATATTGTCACACAGGCTGAATGCAAGGAGAAGGTAGGTCACCTGTCATTGTTCAGACACCAGTGTTCAAGACATACTGCCTTCTCCCCAACCCCACAACGTCTTATCTCACCAGATGTCACAACATGTGAACTGTAGAATGGATTTTCAACTGGGGAGTTTTACCAAACTTTGTCAGTTCATTCCAGTTTGTGGATAAAATGAGATGACAATAATGGACACATTGTACAAAGATGTATATGTGTTTCTGTTCACATCTCAAGCATAAATGACACATATCTTGCTAAATATTTCCTCAGAGCAAAAAATGTTTCAGGCAGAAGTTTGTGGAGAAAATAAAACACACTTTGAATGCCCAGTACACATTCTCCATGAGGTTTATGTTTTTCTAAATATTAAAAAAATGGGAAAGTGCAACAGAATTGTTATGCTGTGCATACATTTCTTTACTTGTTTTGTTATAGTGTTTGTTGCATTTACATCTCACATGTATTTGAGAGCTTGAATCAAGAAAATACAATTTACTTAATTAAGATCTGTTCATAATGTTATATTTCAGCATGCTCTTGCATTGAAGTATCACTTGTGCTTTCTCTTCCACCTATATAGTGCAACACACTTTTGTATTTCAGATGTAAGTATGGTGTCATTGAAATAAAAAAGTGTGCTGCATTATAGATGGGAGAGAAAGCAGAAGTAAGAACTGTTATTCTAAGTATATTGATAATAAATATTTGTTCTTTTATTTCAAATAAATGGATGAATATATTTCATCACATTCCAGTAATACAATTTTGTCTTTGTTGGCAGCCTTGTATGGGGAGCAGTTGATTCTGTTGCAGTATTTGCCCCACATTGGAGAATTGATTGCACTTTGCAAGAGGAAGTTGACAGCAAATCTAGAAGGAGGGCTGGTGGGGTGCCTTGCCCTACTCAAGCACATTATTCCATATTTGTGTGATGCTACACTGATGGATCAGCTGCAGGTCCATTTTTTTTTAACATTCATCTTTCTAATCTACAATAATAATAACAAATCAGTCTCGATTATATTTTACGTGTTGACAGAACAATCATGCACTAGTTAGACATATCCTTCTGTATAATCACCATTCTTTTCAGTACATTTGGTTCAGTGGTCCGCAAGTTCTTGACTTCATACAGATGTTTCATTTGGGCCTTAAGCCACTCTTGCAGCATTTATTCCCAACTTTGCTGGTCATTTCAGAAACAATATCATCAGTGCTGATTCTTTGATTGTCTCAGATATTTCAACACTCTTGCACCCTACTTTGAATTTTTCCATCCATTTTCAATCTTTCCTCTGGTTCGGTATGGTGATAACTAGATCCATCTGAGTTAGGTGTCTCCCTTTCTTTTCACCTGAGGGCAGAAACAGATTCAGTTTCCGAAACATTGTGTCCTAATTGTAATACCTAATGATAGACAAAGTCCAGGAACTCAGTAATTCTAAATATAATGTACCATTATCAGAACTTTTTAGAAGAGTTTCTATGACTGTGGTAATCTTCACCACAATTTTAACATGTATTATTGTTAGTGGGGTGGGACTAAGTCCCTTGTACTGCAGCCACTTCTGGCCTATTGTACCAGCCCCAGATGATAGGTGAGGGTGATTGTGGAGCAATTGGTGGAATGAAGATTGGCAGGGGAAACCGAAGTACCCGTAGAAAACCTGCCCCGGTGCCACTTTGCCCACCACAGATCCCACCTGACCAGACCCGGGATCGAACCCGGGCCGCCGCAGTGGGAAGCCAGCGACTGACTGCTTGAGCTATGGCGCAGCCATATTAAAATGTAACTCATGATGTTACATATTTCTACATCATATTTATTATAGCATTTAAAAGTATGAATCATTTCATGTAACTACTAAACCCAGTGGGTGCTGGAGTGTTGAAATGTATTGCAGGCAATTTGGCAACTGAGTGACAATGGTATCAACTTTGTAGTGGTTATATGTAATTTCCATTGCCCTATACAGGCAAATGTTGTAATGGTACTTTACAATTGACTAACACTTCTTCCTTGACATTCATAATCATTTTCTAATGTGGATCTCTATCAAATGCTGCCCTGTTACACAGCTCAATATAATTCATATTGGCATTAGTTTGACTGCTGGCTTAGAACTCCAGAAGAAATGTCATTATAATGAGTACCCATAGAAGTGAACTGGAGTAGCTCAACCAGTAAAGTGTGTGGTGGTCAACATTGATTCAGTCCCTAACAGGCAGGGATTTTTCTCTGCACCACCACAATCAAAACTACTCTGAGTTCCACTCAAGCCTCCTAACCAAGGTCTCTTTTCCCAGTGGTAAAGGAGCCAGAGCTTGAAGCTGACAACCTAATTCCATTAGTTCCAAGATGCATTAAGATGCAGCTCTGTCTCTTCTCTCTCTTGCATTTTCATGGCATAGTGTTTAAGTATGGAGGCAGCTTTACTTTATTTACCTGTAATGCAGTTTTGATACATAGGCCTCTCAGTTTGAAAGACCAGTGTATTTATGAAACTGCTGAAACTCTTTACATTGTTTTGCTTAGGATGTGATGCTGAAAACAATCCTACATCCAGCAATCCGCCTGGTGTCTACAACACGGTTTGTGTTCCCATCAGGCTGCATTGCCCGTAAAGCTGTCACAGCCAAGTTTGTGGATGCTCTGTATGTTCTGGCCCTCCGCATTGGCTGTGAGATGACTAGGCGCCATTTGGCTGTTCCTTCACTACAGAGATTCTTCCTTACATTTGATAAAGCATTTGGCATATCACACAACCAACATGTTGAAGATGTTAATGTTATTGCTGGCAAGGAAAGTGAAGGCAGGAAGGACAGTCCCCTAAGGTATGTTACTGATGGCTACTGTAATGCTTTCACTTACTGTACAGCGAAAGTCCTAAGGAAGCTGTACTATAAGAGTGAAGTTAACAGTCCAGAAAGTTTGAAAAAAGAAAACAAAACTGTTCATTCTTGAAGAAGAAAGTTCCCAGACTAGGTCAGAAAAGAAATTCTGGCTTAACTTACTCAATTTTGGCTGCTGTGTCCTTCAAAATAGTCTCCTTGAAAACATATACAATGTTCCCATTGTTTTTTCTATGCTTCAGAATCATCGTGGAAGTCATTTTCCTTAATGCTGTAGAGTACTGATTGTTATTCCCTTTGGATGTCAGACACTGTTTCAAAACGTCCCTTCAGTTTCATTTCAATTTGGGAAACAAAACAAAATCACAGGGGTGTAAGTCTGGTGAGTAGGGAGGACGGTGAATGATAACCATGTTGTTACTTACAAACTCTGTGGTTTTCAGGGACATGTGGGCAGGCGCATTGCCATGCTGAAGGAGCCAGTTGTGGTTGTGCCGATGTTCTGATCTTTTTCATCGCACATTTTCTCTCAAGCATCTCAGAACATCACAATAAAAGTCAGAGTTGACTGTAGTGTTAGGTGGGACAAATTCATGGTTCATCATCTTCAACTGATACTTGACCGGCCTTGAAACATGAATGCCATTCAGAAACCACTGTCAGGCTTAAAGAATGTTCTCCGAAAGCCTCACGAAACATTTCAAGGATTACGGTAGTGGAGTTACTGAGCTTCACAGGAAATTTTATGCAGATATACATTGCTCAATTTTTACATCTATCACAGAAAAAAACAGAACGCGAAGTTGAAAAAGCACTTATGTAAAAACACTGCATGTTCACAGCACAGTGTCACATGGCAGACTGATGCAGTAAGCTTGTGGAATTGTGGGCCCCCCTCTCACCTTCTTTCACCGAGGCAGTTACAAAATATGATAACACATTAGGGCTGCATGTAAAAGTATTAAAACTCAGGTCCTTGAATAAAGTAAGATCAACCACAATGCATCATTGTGTATAATATGAAACACTGAATATGGTGGTCAGCCGGTCACGGTAGCCGAGCAGTCTAAGGCATGCACTGTCTTCGCTCGCTCAGAAGCCGAGATCGTGGGTTCGAATCCCACTCAGGGCATGGATGTTTGTGTGCGTTTTTCTGTGTTTGTCTACAGGTAGAGGCCTTGCGACGAGCTGATCACTCGCCCAAGGAGTCCTACCATATGTGTAAGATCTAGAAAAACCGAAGTGAACGGAGTTCATGGAGGTAGGCCTAGGCCCACTAGGGCTGTAGTGCCAAGGAAAAAAAGAAAATGGTGGTCAAGTGGTAAACATCGCTGCTTTATATTTATAGATTCGAAATTAAAATCTCGTCCTCTCAATTGCTGTAGCATATGGACACTCTGGTCTGATCAAAAGACCTCCTTCACTGCTGAAATATAATCTGATTTCAGTGGCGTCATGAATGGGTCTGAGGGTGTAGTGAGGTATCACTGGCTAAAGGATGCCGTATTGACTGTCAGACTAAAGGTCCCACATCACTACCCAACACATCGGCACAACTGCTTCAGATTATTATCCAGTCCCCGTTTCTAGGGCTAATTTTTCATATACTAATTTTTGTACTCCTCTTACTACTGGCATACACATTCCATATAGCATCCCCATGCACTCCATCCCATTAAACCTGAAATAAAGAATGGCTCTTTTCATATTCATTAGGTTCCACTTCTTGTTGCTAACACTCAATGCAGAAACCGTGGACACGTATTATAAATAGCCAGGCACAGTGTTGTTACTTCCCCCTGAAGTTGGAGAGTAATGATTTCTGTCACCCAGAAACAAGATCAACATCATCATCAAACTACTATGAAAGCCTATAATCATATAAAACTAATATTATACATTATAAACTGTTAACTGCAAGATGCCAGAATATGGATTTTAGTATATATTTTAGACATCATTTTGACAACATTTTCCTCAATTAATTTTATGAGCAGTGGACCTGAATTCTTAGTTTCCTATAACACATTGTTGGTCCAGGTGACATAAGGTTATGTATATTGTTTGCAGATCTTTGGAAGAGAGTAATTATGTAGAGATTCGACGAGATGGCACCACTGCTGAATGGGCTGTGAAAGGAATGCCAGTGCAGATTTCACATGTGAGAGTACGTGAAAGTGACTGTGCAGACTCATTTTCCCCTCCACCCTTGATTGGTTCAGAAGGAGAAAACCCTCATGACCAAATAAAAAACAAGGTATATAACAACTTTTAAATATGCAGTAATTCTGTTTTATATTACCAATCCCCAAGAATGAAATCTGCATTGAAATGACATTACAAGACATTAAAATGAAACACTAGAAATTTAAGTAAATTGAAATTTCATTGTAAGGAATGATATTGAAAATGTATATTCCATTGAAACCATTGTCTATATTTTCTTATTTCTTCTGCTGTTGTTGTTTAGCAGCTGAATAATTTTTTTCACTTTATATGCCGATGTCAGAAGTCACGCTCACCAACTTGTGACATATTGTCATGTAATGTAGCCTTTCATGAAGTGAGTAAGTAACGTAAAATACTTGACATTGTAAACACATTCATAGGCTCCTTCTTTGGCAATATTCCTCCACCTCTCTAATTTATTCTTTTTTGAATACCAGAACTCTCTTGTGCTGCAGGCTGTTGAAGAATTGAAGCAAGTGTTCACAGCAGAGCTGGCGCATATGACATACCTACCATTCTTCAGGTTCCTTGGTGAAAGCGTTATGGATGCTTCACTCAAGAATCATGATTTTGTGCGGGACTTGTGCTATAAATATGAGCAAGAGATGCAGTCGTTACACCCTAGAGGGGGCCCTATTAATGTATTGTACCTCTCTGACTATCTTAGCCCTGGAGAGCAGGGAGACCCTGACATGGCTACAGGCTCTGGTAGTTTTGGTAGTAATGTTGCAGTTGTTGGTAACAGAATTGACTTGCAGAGAACAGAGATATCTTCATTACAGTTTCTCCCTTCTGGTAGTCCCAATGTTCAAGCACCACATGGAGATGTAATGGCTCTCATCAGCAGAAAAATGGAAAATACTAATAGGTGAGACATATACTGATAATACAGTAAACATTATAGTGAGTAGCGGGTAGCATGTCTGCTTCATATTTGAGAGGTTTTGGATTCAGATTTTGGTCCAAAGACCAGCTACCCTGATTGAAGTTCTTGTGATTTTTTTCTTAAATTCACTTAGTGGAGGGGTGGAGTCCAACTGTGTCCACTTGGCACGGCGGCTGCCGATTGGCCTATTGTAGCCTGCCCCAGATGAATATGATGATGCAGAATTTGGTGGAATGAAAATTGGCAAGGAAAACCGAAGTACTAGGAGAAAACCCGCCTGAGCGCCACTTTGTCCAGCACAAATCCCACTTGACCAGACCCGGGATCGAACCCCGGCCGCCACGGTGGGAAGCCAGCGACTAACCGCTTTAGCTATGGTGCGGCCTTCTTCTGATGTTCCTCAGTCCCTCCAGGCGGATACCAAGATAATTCCTCATTTTAAGCCATAATCACTTTCTTCAACAACCTTTACAATTCATCATTCAGTTCCTCATTCTTAGCATTGTTTCTATTTTGTACAGGTCCAATCTTGGCTATCTTTCCTCAGTTTTTCCTCTTACTTTCTTGACAGCTCCATCCATTTTTCTTAACCTCTTCATTAGTCTCTTACCATTGTATCATTTTACTGTAATGTGAGCTGTGGACAGCATACTTATACACATGTGGAATAAATAAAAAAAAAAACATAAACTGACATTGATTGCACATTCCCTTCATTAAGAAGAGCAGATAGTATCAGTTCAGTAGTCTTTTGTATCATCGTTAAACCCCAAATGCCTTGTTCCTCTACTTTTTATTTGCTTACAAGTTTTGGTCATTGGTACTGAAGCATCGCATCTTGATGGCATATAGAGGGTGTACAGACGTGGTTAACCTCAGTGCTGGATGGAGGTTTGTTGTCAGCTTGTCATTCCAGCCACCTTTCACTCAGGGAAAGAGCCATGTGGTACCTGCTGGACAAGAGGCTAAGTGGGCTCCAGAACGAATATAGATGTGAAGACAAACATCCCTACCCCTGCCACAAATTGAACATCAGCTATTCGGCCAACAGCTGATCTCTTTACCATCTTAGCTATCTCAGCTGTGTCTACCAAATAATTTGAAATTTTGAAGCAAATTGCAATAATTTAGTAAAAGTTTACAGGCTGCTGTCACTTATCCAGAGTTATGCTGTGCAGAACAAATGGTGAGAATATAGTTACATAAAATACAAAATAAAATTGTGAATACTTCTTGTTACACATGGATGAACAGTCTGACCTTCTCAGGACTCTTTGATACATGTGTCTTATGTTGTATATTCACATATACCGTATTTACGCATGTATAGGCCGCAGCACAATTTTCAGACAAATTATAGAAAAAATAATTTTCTTGGAATATTATTTCAGGAGTAGAACACCCTGTATTACTAATTCTGAATATAATTTTTTTTAAATGAAGTGTGATTTCGAATATTTCGAATATAAGCCGCACCCCAGTTTTCCTCTTGAATTTTTGGCAAAAAATGTGCGGCCTATACATGCGTAAATACGGTAATTGCGCAAGCTTTGCAGCTGTTAGCTTGTTGCTCTAAACAACAGAGTGTATAGATTGTTAAGTTGGTAATATGGATGATGCTCCTGTAGTTAATTAAGTGCCATGCCACATGTAGGGGAGATATAGTTTCATACATTTTTAACCTCAGCATCAGATGGAAGTGAGTGGTCAGTTTCATACCCTGGCCACTTTACCGCTAGAGAATACCCACTGTGGCAGCCTGGGTTCAAGCCCAAGTCAGGTCATATGGGATTTGTAGTGAACAAAGTGTCATTGGGACAAGTTTTCTCTGAGTACTTCTGTTTCCCCCACCAATTCTAATTCCACCAACTTCTCCATATTCATCATCTATCATCTGGGGCTGGTACAATAGGCCAGTTAGTGGCTGAAATACCAAGCGGACTCAGTCTCACCCCACCCCAAGAAAAAAAAAACTAACTGCTACTGGAGAAAGAAGCCCATGTACCCACTGGCTAGGATGTTGCGCAGGCCCCAGAGCCAGTCTGGATGCTCAAAAGAAGGAAAATCTCTTCTGTTGCTGGCAGTTGAACTGTGATTTGCCAGTCATCCAAAAGTGACCTAACTAATCTCTAGAATCAGTGATTTTATTTTTCTGCTAAGCTATTTGTAACACCCTACATTTGTGTTCAGGTGTTAACCAGTTTGAATATCTTCCAACTATCTTCATTTAGGCTTCCATGGTTTCCCCCGGTCTTTAGCATATACTGGGAGACTATCTTAAATAGGCCATAGCCACTTCCCCATTCTTTACTACTCAGCACTTGTTAGTCACCTCCATATCTGATCTCTATATAATGTACATATATTTTAAATTGTATCATTAAATTATGTAAGAATGTGAGGTTTGTGGTTCTTGCATTAGTGACAATGAAAATTATTATATTCTGAGATCATATAATTTGATAGATATGTACCAACTTTTTGGAGGAATCTGCTGCCTCCATCTTCAGGGAAGAAGAGCTCTTCGAAACTGAAGATGAAAGTAACAGCTTCCACGAAAACATCAATCACTATCTACCAAACTATATAGCATCACATCCCAGAATATGGTAATCTTCTTAATCTACGATAAATTCGGTCATTCATCTTTGTGCTTCAACTTTAATGGCCTGATCATGAAAGGTCCAATAGTAACAAATGGTAATTCAACAAAATATATAAAAAATTAGTATTTCATGCCCAAGGATTGTTTAATCACATTTGCTACTGGGGAATGGTTTAAATTGATTTAGTTGTTTCAAGTAATGTCAATGCATGTATAATATTATGTTTCTTTACATTGACAGGCATCTTCATGGGAACTGGCTTGCTTATTGGGAACATGAGATTGGACGTGCTGAGAAGGACACACGTTTCAATTTCAAACAGATCAAGCTGCAGACATTCTCAGGCCATACAAATAGTGTGCGGGCTGTTCTTGCTCTTGACAATGAAAACAGTTTCATGAGTGGAAGTCGTGATAAGACAGTCAAACTCTGGTCTTTGCGTAGTCAGGTAATTACTGCAGCTGATAGATGGAAGATGGAAGGCATAGATGTCCAGATGGAAATGTATCTAATAATAATAATAATAATCACCCAAAAATGAACTGAGTGAAATATGGTAGAAGTTAGATATACAAAATAGCTTCTTAAACAGTCATGAAATATTGCTTTTGGGAATCTGATTTGAATGCTGTCAGTTATTTTGTCTATTTTAATTTCTGGCCTGTTATTACTAGAATTTCAGTGAGTCCAATCACATTGGCAGAGAACATAATTTCTGCAAGTGTTGGACTGGACCCAGTAAAGGATCTAAATTAGTTAATTCCTTTATGGGGAACATAATGAATTTTCATTGCAACTTGTGATCATTGAAATTTCTAGATAAATGAAGGAAAACCTTGAATCAGAGAGTATTAAATTGGGGCCTCACTATATATATATCTTCTTGTACTGCTATATGTTCTCCAATTAGTGTGAAATTTATTAATTTTGTTTAACAAGTGACTTGTAAGTTGTTAACGACACTGGAGTATGTTCCATCACAGTTCTGTTGTGTGATCTGAACAGGGTGATGGAAGTTCTGTGACACAGTGCCAGTGGACCTACTCAGGTCATCGTAAAACAGTACTTGCCATCACATTCCTGGAGTCGTTGCGTCTGGCTGCATCCTGTGACTCTGTGGTGCACCTGTGGGATCCATTTATGGGCTGTGTGGTGGCACAGTTGGACTCTGCTCGCAACCCACCCATCACTGTCCTGCGGGCCATGCCACCTCCCAGCACGTCACTCATGGCTGCAACCAATGATGCTACCCTCCGGCTCTTGGATGCCCGCGCATGCTCATTTGTCAATGAGCTTAAGGTGATTAAAATTTGTAGAAACTGCTCTTACATACACTCATAAAAGTGAGTATTTTTCAGAGGTCTACAATGCAGTCTCATACATGAATATAATGCCGCCTTAAGCCACGTTTTCTTTACAAAATAAGAGAAATAATATGAAATGATTACCAACCCACTGAATAACTTACTCCTTAGATCTATATTCCCCTAAGAACCTTAACCTCCTTTATGACATGTGCATTCTTTATTATAAGTCTTTACCTCTGTTTCCTCACTTTCAGTTTTTGTAAATTATTCTATGCATGTCACTTATTTTCTTATAACAACCCATCATGGATCCACCATTGTCCTTGGTCTACTTCTTTGGCTGTCAGTGGTGCCATGCAGTCAGATGCCAGTCCCTGGTCAGTCATCAGTTGCTCCAACCATATCCTTGTGTGTCATTCCATTAGAACCCTCAAGCTACTATGTTCACCATCTCTCCTGGGCTTTGCTCCTTGCTCTCCCAACAGGCCTTCATCATTTGCAGGCAGGCCTTATTCCCTTCTTGGCAGGCATTAATGTTGGCTTCCATCCTTTCATGATGGGTGTCCAACTTGGCTACTATTTCCTCTTGAATGGTCTCTGCCCTGTCTTTGTGTATATCTATCCAGGAAATGAGAGTACCTAGAAGGATCTCACACTTCCTTTATTGGCCTGTCTTGGCTTCCATCCCTTCTTGGTTGGTATCCACTTCTTTTTCATGACATTCGTTTTGGCCAGCAGGCATTCCAGTATTTGTTCCATCTTCGTAGTGTGGCAATATAACTACACATTTCGATCTTCATTCCAATGCCAATCAATCCGGTCCCACTTCTGATGTCAGTTATCATGTGATTGAATGACTATAAAGGGGTTTTGGATTGATGACAGGATTTATTGGACACTTTGATACAGTGCGTGACTACACTTTATAGTACACTATACAGGGGTTGATTTCTTCTATTGGAAAGATATTTGTCTTACTATTTCGTTACCAGTAGAGTCTAGCAGTTTGCAATTCATTACAGGCTTTAATTTCACGCAGAATTCGTTACATGGGTACCAGCATTTGAATAATCTGTTCTGTCTAATTATCCATGCTACTTATACCCTCCATTTCTGACAGATGACCAAGAGGCTGCTATAGTTGGCTCAGAGGAGAGGCAAAAACTCTGACAAACTCAGTTTATGGAAATTTTTCCAAAGCAATAACCCCTCTACTTCAGTACTCTAACAGAAATAAAATCAGGAGACAACAAATTAACATTCATGTCTCTCAGACAAAATGAGAAGAATATAATTGTTTAGATAAAAATTGAAGAATATGATTGTTTAAGCACTAAAACTTTCATGTCAAATATTTTAAGGTTTCACTGAGCCCAGCTGGGCTAATACGTTGCATAGCAGTGGGTCCCAGTGGACTCTGGGTGGCTGTGGGACAGTCGTCTGGCTATCTCACAATCCTAGACATACGTACAGGGATGGTAGTGGCGTCATGGAAAGGGCACGAGGGAGAGGTATTGCAGCTGGTGGCGGCAAGTGATAATACTCTGGTGAGCTCGTCCTTAGATCAGACTGTGTCTGCTTGGGCAGCTGCTGACGGAAAACTCAGTTTCCACATGAAGTAAGTGTACAACCTCATATCGTATTCACGTTGGAACATTCTTTGAATGAATATTATTGTTTGTTTTGTTTGTTTGTTTTTTTCTTTTTTTTTTTGTAATCTATCTCTCCATCAAATCAGACATTTACACAATGGAGTCGCCTGTCGGATAGTATCAAATATTAAATAATAACATACAACATAACAACAGGACTCTGAACACCACGTCAGCCGTTGTGTACTGTAACATGTCTCTATGAGCATTGCATGTATTATGTTTGCAACTGACAACTTCCAAGTAACATCGCATGTAACTGGTTATTTGAGACTTCAACTTTTATTGTAATTTATATTTTATATACACTCATATCATTTTATACCATTGTATGCACTTGGAAGTTTGAAACTGTATCCTATATTTGACATGCAATTCAATAACGAAAAGTTTTGTGTGTTTTCCTGATGATGGCCTTTTGAAGGCCAAAACATGTAGCAAAGGTGTCTCCTAGAGCTGCTTGCACGTATTATTGATTGTTGTGTTATGACGGTTTTCAGTAAAAGGGAATAATATTATGGCTAATTTCCATAGTATGAGATATATTTTATGTACAAACCATTTTAGTAGCTCACTGTACTGTAACTGCCAGCTAGGCTGTGCCATAGCTCAGGTAGTTAGTCACTGCCTTCCTACTGCGGTGAAGTGGGTTTGATCCCAGGTCAGATCCTGTGAGATTTGTAATGGATAAAGTGGCACCGGGTCAGTTTCTTCTGAGTACTTCAATTTCCCATGCCAATGCACATTCCACCGGCTGCTTCATATTCATTAATCATCCTATCATCAATGCTGTGTAGTCTTGATACTGATACAAACAAACTCCATGATTTTAGTCCACAAGCGAACTACCGACCGAGCCACCTCCGCTTGTTGGCAAAGTTTAGTGCCAACTTTTGCAGATAGAGGGTGTCACATGGTCAGCGCAATAAATCCCCATGGCTGTTAATTTCGGTTTTCTAGACCGGAGCCACTATTTCCTTGAAATAGCTCCTCAATTATCATCACGAGGCTGAGTGGACCCCGTTCCAGACCCACTACTTCTCAGAAAAAACTCTGGTAGTGCCGGGAATCGAACCCGGACCTCTGGATCTGTAGCCAGGAACGCTGCACTAGACAACAGAGGCGGTATATCATTAAATAACAAACTTAAAAAAAATTGACAGGTTATTAGCATAGCGTTTGAAAGGTCTTTAAAATATCAGCATAATGACAACTGTTTGCCTGGAGCCTAGGGTTAAACCAACTTTAAAAATGTTGTGTAATTCAAATTTACCTACCAAAGCGATCAGCCATTTCAACATAACAGTGAAATAATGGATCAGCCATTACTGTGAGCCTTTTAGAGACCCAATGAGGAGCACTAGATCAGTCTCGTGTATTCTTGGAAACATGTAAAGTGGTAAACTTTACAATGTAGACACAAACACATATTTAAATAATAGTAGTGATTGGCAATCTGCCGTTGTATCGCATTTATTCAGGGGAAGTGCTTGGTTTGAATCGAGGCTATCCAGACCTAGGTTTTTGTGAATTTCCACTGTCCTTCAAGGAAAATGGCATTGCCGCTGTCTTCCAGTCCTTTCCATCATATCATTCATCGGTCATCTTACCAGTCATAGTCATATAGTCTAAATCCTGACAGCATCATAAATTAAACCACAAAAAGAAAAGGACCGCCAATAATTATTTTATTGTTAGGGGTTGGGTTAATCTAACAAAAGGTAAAGTTGTGTCTGTGCTTAATTATTAGTAAATCAAGACATGTGGGGGAGTGAAGGTAGCCCATGTAGCAGTAATTCAAGTAACTTTTCATTAAAAACATAATTTTATATGGAAATTGCAACAGTAGTACAAGCTTTTTTCTTGTTATTATGTAACTTCTTCAGACTCTGAAGAAAGTTGTCTTCTGGTCTTTATCGCTCTCAACAATCTCGACAGACGTGAAACATCCTTTCCCTCAAGAGAATCCTACTAGCCACACCAGTTCTTCGTCATGTCATTGACGTCAATAGCCTGTCCTCAACCTACCGGTTTTTCTTGACTACCGCACTTCCTAGTGCTATTGACCTCAAGTTTCCTGTCCTCACTGGCCGTTCCCCCTCTCCCTTAGTCACACACCATATATGGCCTTAATCGCTCTCCACTGCTCCCATTGGTCCGTTCTCCCTAACCACCCCCCCTGCCTACTTCGTATATAAGCAGCACCTTCCACATCCTATCACCATAGCTACTGCTCTCCGCAGCTATTCAACTGCTCTGAAGATGGAGGCGCTACGTTCTTCCGAAACGTCGGCCAAAACGAAGAATACACGGTGCCTAAACCCAGAAGAAAACTTTCTTCATTGTCATCGCAGTGAAAACCTCAAAACTTGCGTAGTATTCTTCAGACTCTATTTGCAGCATGTTTTTAATTATTATAAAGGAAACAGTGAACACAAATTAATATCTTCTTAATAATAAGTATAAACAGTGTGACAGGTTGGTTCAGTTTTTTGACAGTGGGGAACAGATTTATTGATTCACACTAAAGGTATGGTATTTTATGATTGCATTGACATTTTTCTTTTCAGGGGCCCAACAGAGCCTGTACACTGCATGTCTGGGTATGGCTCTGAGTTGATATCAGGGACAACTGCCAATCGGATAGGTGTCCACACAGCTGTAGATGCTCATGCTTCTTTTTCATCTACACGTTTACGCTCAGATACCTTCAAGGGGGTTTTGACAGCAATGGCGGTTCTTCCCCTGAACCGACTGCTGCTTCTGGGTGCTGACACTGGCAACATAAGCCTGCTCTGCTGATCCCCCAACCTACTTTCTTGTAAGATTATGTTCACCAGATACAGTATTAGGCAAGACACATACTTAATTTTCTTGATATAAACATGTGGAATGCTTCCAGTTTACTATCATATGAATGCTGCATGTAACATTGCAGAACTTCCACAGAATAAATTAAAATATTACAAGATTATAATGTATGTACAGATTGAAGATAACATTGTCTCTCTCTAAGATCATATACAATGAATATAATGAAAGAATTATTTTTATCAACGACAGTTTTTAATCTTATATATTTTCTCGCTACTGTCCTATTTTGATACAAGTGCAGATATCTTTTACTTTATATATATCATTTTTGCAACATATTAAACTTACCACTTACATTAAAGTATACAATAGGGTCTAATAATCGCCATAATTATGTGGAATGTTCTACTTTTTTACTTAGTCCTATGGAGGATCCCTGTAACAGGCCGTGGAGGCCCATAGGATTGTGACATAGAGGTTCACACATTTTCTAGACAGTTAGCTCACAAATGGCAGTGAGTTTGTCAGCCTTACACGCTGACCACACTTTACCCCCAGGAAGATTCCTGGTACTTATTTTTCTTAGACACTGAGTCACCCCCAGAGCCATCGTGTGGATGGAAGGATTAGGTCAGTTGAAAAATCCAGCGACCTCATTTGGAATCAAACCTGCGATTAGGGATCTGTAGAATGTAATTAAATACTAATTCTCTGTGTGTAGATAAAGTCAGCATTACTGTGCATTTTGGATGATACACATTAATATATTTTCAAGACCTCTCTTATTAGTGGCTGTGCACTATTTTTTGCCCACAAAGTGTTGATGTTTTTATAATATCTTATCTGAGTGAAAAGAAATTTTAAACTTCCAACTGTACTATTTAAGCAAATGTAGATTCACCATTGCACTGCTTTCTTTGAGACAGAATTAGAAACATGTAGAACAGATTTATGAAGTAGACCAATCAGAAAGGGTGTTGATGAATGCACAGTGATACAGGATTTAACTTTCTTTAAAGATTTATAAAGGATTTCTTTAAATAAGCACCTTTGTTTAAAATTTTGTGTACTTGTTCAGTTTTAGTCTGTTTTATCAGTTATTTAATGTTTTGTTAAAAGACAGAAATCTTTGGGAAAAGTTCTCAAAATTCTAGACTCAAGCTAGGAATTTTTATTCCTATATTTAGAAAGTAACGTATAAGCTTATAGCTGGCCCTTACCATGATTTCCTGTCCTGTGACTCTTTTGGTCTAAGTTTATTTAGTTTTCGATAAGATCAGTAAAAGAGATTTATCCTGCCATTTCTCAGTGAACAAGCCTTTAACAGTACCCTGAAAATGTGTTAACAGAACAAATTTTATTTCAATGAAAATTTAGGGCAAAATTTGCCCTAAACGTGGACAAGTTCAAGAACTGAAACTTTTGTTCAGAAGCATCATGATAAAGGTAACTTACTTCATAAAGTGATCTGTATTAGGCATATGAACCTAGTTGAAGATGGTTTACTACTATTGCTGAAAGATCTAATTTTTGAAGTTTTCTATCAGTTTTCCATTGGAATACTTAACTGTGTGAATAAAATGTCATATATTCTGGTCTGTCTGTTCTTCTTTTGGTGCATCTGCACAGATTTTGAAAAGGGGGGAAGAACTAATCACCTACTTTCCTTTAATTATGCATTGAGAATTTGATACAATACAAACCACATAGAAAACATCTCATCCAACAGTACTTCTGTTGTTGCATATGTATTCGTTGTTGCAGGAACATGTTCACTGAGCCGTTGCCTAGCAATGGCTGTCTCTTCTGGCTCCACTAGTTCGTCTTGCTGGTGGGGGGGACACAGGCAGCATTTTGATCTCATACACCTCCTTTTAATTTTTCGAAATATGGAAAGTGGGCTAAAAAGACACTTGAAAATAATGTTTGGTTTTTATAATTGTCTTTTTCTGTATGCATATTTCATAAGCTGAGGGACATTAATTATTGATCATGTTAGGGGGCATCTGCCCACTTTCCATGTGGAATAGCATGGTACAACATTTAGAATAAATATATATGATTGTGGGTACAATAGAAAAGAATGGTTATAAGATCAAATGTTGTTAAGAGATACTTGTGTACGTATTTATATTTGTAAAATGTATATATACATATTGCTGTGTATGTGGATTATTATTATATAAATTAATTGACTTGAAAATATTTATATGTATTTTTTAAAATGTTCTTTATTTATAAAAGAAAATTTTTGGTAAACTATGATGTGATATGTTATCAGTTTTATTGATGGTAATGACATAAGATGCATGTTTCAACGGTGTGAAACTGTGGATTACATCATTCCATTTACTACCCCATGTAGAATTCACATGGTTGTAATCAGTATCAAATACAACAGTGTTGCCAGAATATGAAATGCCAATATAGCTGCATAGATTGTAGATTTACAGGTAAATCTGGTAATTGGGTAAAAAATAATTTTTAAGTCTGTGGACTAGTACTGTGTGACTGGTTTCCTTGAAAGTGAGATGTAGTTTCAATCTTTGATCACAATCCATGAATACCAAGCTTTGTGTTTCTACCTACAGGTATCCCAAGCGAAAATGAGAAGTAGATTTTGTATCAACAAAGAATTAATGACATTTATCCCCACTGATTGTGAATTCTTCATATCAATTTTTAAGTCTCATCTTATTTATGTTAATTATTTGTATACACATAAATTATGCTGAATGAAAAAATGGTTCTATATTTTCCAAAGATGAGACTTTTACGACAAAGAGAATCTAAAGTTGAAATATTCTTTTTAATATTTTGCTAATTCATTGCACATAAGAATAGGAAATACAGTGTCTCTGTAAACTGAATATCTTTATGTTCACTGTTATAGGGTTTGCCTCAAAAGTAAGATAATTTTGAAGTTTAAATCTGTCATCTTGGTAACTCCAGAATTTTTGAAGCTTGGTTTACAATATTCTGCATTGAAAATCTATAAGAATTAAATTTTGTTGCAGAGCTCTGTGTATCACATAAGCTTTTGTTCTTAAGTTTGGCTGCATCATATTATGATGGACATATTTAAAAGAATTTGCTTTTCACACAATTGTTTGTTGTCTGCTGTAAATCCATGTCTAGAGAATGAGGCCTGTGCAGTAATTATGGAATGAACATTTAAATTCTCAAATTTAGAAACATTACTTTCTCTGACATTGCATGCACGGTAATTAATAAGTCCCTCCAGAAACTCTTGACAATAATTTAGAATGGTACCCTTGTAGGCATGTATTTGGTTTAGAGAGTGATTCTAAATTATTGTCGCGGTTTCCAGAGGGACTTATTAATTATCCTGTGCATTTAAAATTCAGAAGTAAACCATTATTTTGAATGTATCTTGTGCAGAATATGTTCTGTGATATTTTGAATGCAGCTTGAAAGCTTACTTCCTCCCTAATTATTAAGCAGTTGTTAATCAGTACCTCAGAAAATGTACTATATTTTACAAGTAGGATCTTTATAAGTGTACTGCTGGTAGTAATGGAAGATGCTCTCTGTCTGTACAAATAATCTGTAGTTAGACCACTGTTAAAATAACCATTAGTTTTAAGTTTAGTTCAGTGATTAGCATTGTAGGATAAGCAGAAAAGTACTGGTTTCTCAGTTAACTGTCAGAGATCAAATATGAGTAAGATTTGAGGTTCTCACAGCAGTGGTTATGAAGAATTCTCTCTTGTAGAATATAACACAATATAGTCCATTAAAAGTCAGCTGACATTTCAGAGGAACATGTCACCCCCATCTTCAGGGTCCAAGAATAAGCCAAGCAAGAAACCAGTGTGTAGCAGGCACCTCTTCTTACTACCTGCTTCATGCTAGTTTCTTCCTTGGCTTATTCATGATCCTGAAGATGGAAGCGACATGTTTCTCCAAAACGTTAGTTGATTTTCTACAGACTGCAGGACGTTAAGTCTCAGAAGTTAGAACTCTTCAAATGTAAGTTTTAATAGTAATAGATATGATGATTTCTAGCAGAATTATTTATTAATGTTAATGTTAAAGTAATTTTGAAACTAAATTTGAAAGGAACAGCTTTGTGTTTAATTTGTATGCCATGTATCAGCCAGAAAATGATGTACCAAAGAATTACTGGATGATAAAATAATTTGGAGCCACAATCTGTTTTTCCTTCAGCCACTGTGAAGTGTCTCTACCTTAACCTTGTCAATTCATACTTCATTGCCAGGTCTTCTCAAGAAGCTTCATAAACTGTTCATTACTCCATTCCTATAAAGAATGATTTTCTGATCAGAAATATATAATGCAAATAAGCCCTACTTATGTGGCTTTCACATGTTGGGTAATACTATTTTCTTCAAGACAGTCGCAGTATCATGTGATATACTAGTGCAAGAGAGAACCAAGTTACTTCATGTAGTAGCAGGTAAGTGCTGAAGTGCTAAATGGTACCATGTGATTTCCACACAGTGTTACATCTGTGACGCCGAAGACGTTTTGGGTTGTGGAAGATTTGTTAAAAGTGACATAGACATTAATTTTTTGCAGGTAGAAGTAAAATTGTGAGTATAATCAATTAATGCTGTGGCAGTTAAGTCAATGAATTGTACCCTCTCCTGGTGGTCCCAGAAAATCGAATGAGGTGTTCTGGAATGATGAACTGTTGTGATTACTGCTACTGTGAAATTTTACTGTTATTTATTTAATTTGGCTATTTAACGTCACTTCAGTGTTTGAATGACAACTATTAGTTAACCGAGTTATTTGTGTAAGAGTCGTTTTCATCGTTGCTGGTGACACTTGTCCCATCGACCTAAACCGTAGAATATAACCCCTTGCTTAGTGAAACTTGTATGTAACCTGTCATTAAAGGGGCGTTTGGCCTTGTACTTCAACACGGTATTTTTTGCGGGAGGCTAAGGGCAGCGACTTTTGAGAGATTTTGCATCAAGTTTCTTCGAAGCAGCATCTTGCTGGTGGGAGAACATAGCCTTGCTGAATACGTAGACAATGATATCCTGTAATTCACAGGGACAGTCTTGGAGTGCGACTTCTTGTCATGTTTGTAGACTGATGATGTGATGTCATAAATATTTATTCTGCAAAATGCTTCGACCTTACAAGCTGATTATATTTAGGTTTAAATTGCTGCTGCTCTTCACGTGGGACAGTTTTGTGTGGTTTTTATGGATAGTGGATGGTTCTTGGGTACAAAAACATGTATAGCACCTGAGAGTTTACCATCGCGACCCAGAAGACCCAGGGCCCAGAACGACTAGCTTCCAGTACGAAAAGACACCGCTATTAGCGTTGTACGCGTTCAATGACGTTCTCTCGCATTCCCGCAGGCCATGCAGCACGTGCATAATGATTCCGATTTTAAGTACTGGAATTGTCCCAGCGTCTGTAGGTAATCCGTGTTTATGAACTTTATGAAGGACGGCATGGAACCAGGTGCTAGTTATGCTGCGGAGAGGCGTTGTACGTTGGTAACGCCGATCAGAGTTTGTGTATAATTACCCAGTGATAATGCATATACGGAAATAGGTTAAGTATATTGGTGGGTATGGTATGTGACGAGAGAAATTTGCAGAGAACTAGATATAGCTTGGTGTGAAAAATATCAGATTTGTTCTCCATATGGCTTACGCCAGTGAAGGATAAAGTGGATAGAACTGTTAGATTCGGGCGTTTTCAGTTCAAATTTCGGCCAGAAGGCTGGCTATCGTGAGGAATATTTTTCATAGTTTTCCCCAGCCTTTCCAGGCAAATGCCAGAACAGTACCTGGAATTAGACTACGGCTCCGTCTTTACACATAATTCCAGTTCACTATTATATAATAATCCAATATTCCACTTTTGTAATCTTGAAAGCATCGTTAATTAATAAATAAGTAAATGGAGAAACATTCTGGTATTGAATATTGAGGTTTCATAAAGGGTGAAATATTTCTTGGCTAGTGGGGAGACCAGGTTTCTTAAGAAGGACTTGCTCCAAGAAGATTGTTGGAAGACATTAACTCATTACTACACTGGTGTGATATTTATACAGGAAGGATGGTAGGCATGTAATTTTGCTGCCATATTTTGTATTAGGTATTGAAAATAGCCTAGTAAAGACTTCATTACATTGTTATTGTAGTGCAGTAGGCTTCTAAAGTTTATTCCTCTATAAATCTGTTAAGAAAAAAACATAAACCACTAGCTCAAATTAATTGTTTAGGGTTTTGTGTCTTATCTCTTTTACCTTCCTGACAGCCACTTTACAGTATTTCACAGATTGATTCTCTTCTGAAAGGATAGGAAGCTAACGTAACTGCACATCTTAATTGGGTGATTGGAACACCATAGAAAGAAAATAATTTGTTTTCTACAGGGGCCCATACATGCTGATATTTTTACTCAGATTTATCAATGCAGACATCACAAATTTTTATCTTCATACTACACAGATTTGTCTCTGCAGTTCCATTTTGGTTGTGTATATGAACTGCCGTGATGAAGTGATGAATTAATTTGTTCACAGAAGAAATTGAAATTCAAAATAAATCCTGAATGGCATAAACAGTGTCTGCATAAAATGGCCCATTTTTGTCATAAATTTGGTAGAAGAATCAAGAGTTTGTTTATATTGTGGGGCAGTTCGACCCATAGTAATTTGATTTTTAAAATACAAAAAAGAATAGTGAGAATTATTATGAAGGCAAGGAATAAGGACTCCTGTCGTCCATTGTTTAGGCAATTAAATATTCTGCCCTTATATTCGCAATATATATTTCTTGTATTAATATTTGTAGCCAAGAACATTGACATATACAAATTTAATTCTACCATACATAGCATTAACACCAGACAAGTTACACATTTACATTTTCCAACTAATAAATCTGCTAAGCTGCAGAAGGGTGTATATTATGCAGGGATTAGGATATTCAATAATTTACCACGAAGCATTAGGAATTTGTCAAATAATATTATTAAATTCAAACAAGTTTTAAAAAGGTTTCTTCTTATTGGCTCATTCTATACCCTAAATGAATACTGTGAATGGAACTCAAGGGGTGATCTTGATTCTTAACAAACAGCATACACAATTGATTTGAACCGTTCTTTAATTGAATCTGTAGACAAGCATATACTTTGATTTGTGTATATAGTGGACATGATTTCTATTTATTTTAATAATTTTATCATTATAATCTGCAATTATATATTGTTTTATCATTGTTTGTATTGATTCTTTATATATTCCTGTGAGAAAGTTTTAATATGTATTTATGGCTAGTATATGTCTTATATTGTATTATTTTTATGTTTGACATGATTCATATTAATTGATCCCTAGCACAGCATTGTTAATTTAGATATAGGACTTTGTTCTGCTTGTGAATCTTGTTGTGATTTGCCTTGCCAGCATCTTGCTGACTTTGTTATATGTATTTTTATATTTTTAACTTGTTTCAACAGCTGTTGGAGCATATCTCATTTTTCTGTTTTGACATGTTCTATATCCAATGGTTTTATACCTGTAACTGGATCTACTAGAATATAATAAAGATATGATATGATATAAAATTGGCATAATTACTTCCAGATGGATGTACCAAGTTATTTGAATCTGTTATCATTGGAGAATGCAGAAAACTAAACAAAATCATAACAATTGTCCCTCATGTGTTTAGATTTGTCTGCACAGATGAAATTTCAAGATATCCCATGTTTACACAGACTAAGATTTTTGGTCTGTACAGGCCTTCCTGTTTGCGCTCATACATAGAGATTTGTCTGCACAGGACTTGTTTGTGAACAAATCTGACTAAATTCTGAAAGAACATAATGTGCATGAAACAAACAAAAACGTGGAGCAGTATCATTTGTCTTACTCAGTTTTGAATTTATCTTGGTAAGAATATCACACTGAAGACTTCATTAAGCATTTCTTACTAAAACCTACTGAAATATTTTATATACCTCAAGAGATTTGGTGAACTATAATGTATGATTATCCATGCTAATGAAGGGGGAAAGCTGTGCAAATAATAAGAAAGCATGGATAATCCTATTTTCTTGCCTGATCGGGTTGACATCAGTTTTTGAATATAGAAATTCAGAAGTGTTCGCCTAGCATGTAATTATTTAAGGAATTATGCTTGAGAGGCCTACAAAAAAAATGCTTGTAGGTCTTTGTATGAAGTGGTTTTAAAATTATCCAGTATTAATAAAAACTACAATGGCTTGACAGTTTTTTTTTTAATTATAAAATATTAAATTTCATGAAAATCTGCCCAGCAGTTCTCCAGTTTTTCATGCTTGCAGACAGTCTGAGTGAAATTAATAGACATTCTGCAGGGTTACATACCTTCCAATAAGTGTACAGATAAGCTGAAAACTGGATAATTCACATGGATAATTAGGAATGTACCATACAGTTTGAGGGCCTCTACTTTGGTATGACCTTTTAAGTGACTTATATTTTCTCCTTGTTCTTGCGCAGCTAGATTTAATGTGTTACACGATCTTAGATGCATAAAACTGCACTGTTTTCACTCATGAGACATACTGCAGCCATGACAGTGAGATCTCAACCAAGCTCTGACACGGCAGCATTTCGTGAGCTACTGAGCAAATCCAAGCATGTCGTCGTGCTGTCAGGAGCTGGAGTGTCAGCAGAGTCTGGTATTCCTACATTTCGAGGATCTGGTGGTTTCTGGCGTACATACCAAGCTCAGGATCTAGCCACACCTAGAGCCTTTGCAAGGGATCCCTCTCTGGTGTGGGAATTCTACCATTACCGTCGTGAACTTGTCCTCACAAAAGAACCCAACAAGGTTTGATATAAACTGAATAAGCTCTTCCCTTTTTCTTTAAGTTTTCTCGATGTATATTGCAATTCATAAGCTAGTGTGAGATTTCCGGCATGAATGTGTATCATATTTCAGTTGCAAGACAAATCAATTCAATTTATTTCAAATTCATTGAAACACCAGACTTTTTATGAATATTGTCAACATTTTATTCCTTCCACCATAGTTTCCCAAAATGTGACCAAATATAAAAATAATTGTATTGAAATATTTCAGCAAATCTATTTAAATTGTTGATAATTATTTACTGTCCTTAGAAACTATGCATTGAATTTTGCACAGCCAATATTTAAAAAAAGATTTCTCTTCAGTTTAACATTTCAGACTTGGAGTGCACGTATTGAATTTTGGGAATTAATCAGTTACTGCAAGTCATTTTATCAATATCTGCCTGTGCCAAATTTCATACCTAGTTTTACTAGCTCCAGAAGTTAATTAATTATCACAGTCACATCAGAAACTAAGTATACATATTATGCAGCCACCATTTTTGTTGTTCTACAGTTCCCAAATATGTTACCAAGACTGCAGTTTTTAAAGATCTGTTATTGTACATCATTCAGGGACCCAAAATAAGTGATGCTAAAAACATTCCCACCTCATAAGTTTATGTGTCTGTCATAATGTTATTACCAACTGTAGGAAGTTATAAGATACTGCATTTGTGTGACCCCTAATGGCATAATGGCTATGCCAGATTTTATGAAAATAGGTCAGCTGGTTCAGAGTTGAAATGGTAACACGGCATGGTGAACTCATAATCCTGCTTTTTCCCCTTTCTAAGGAAGGAAGTAGAAACATCAAGTAAAGCTATCCCTGTAACAGGCCATGGAGGCCCATAGGGTTGTGAGATGTTGATGTTTCCACATTTTCTAGACAGTAGGTTCATAGATGGCGGCAAGGTCAGCCCTACGCGCCGGCCACCCTTTATCCCCAAGAATATTCCTGGTACTCATTTCTGTCAGGCTGAGTCGACCCCAGGGCCATAATGTGGCTGGAAGGATTAGGTCAATTGAAAAAAATCCAATGACCTCATTGGGACTTGAACCCATGACCTTCCAGCTTGTAGCATAGTGCCTCAACCAACTATGCTACTGCGTTTTAAGGAAGGAAAGTAGACTAAATATGTATGTTGTTTAGAAAGTTAGCTGTACAGTATATTGTGTCAGATGATTCTCAGGATACCATCTTTTGGTTATTAGGGGCCATTTCTTCCCAATTTATACATCACTTATCGCTAACCTCGTTTTATGGTACAGCCATTTGGAAAACAAAGAATTACAGTGAACTCCCCATTATCTGGAATGTATGAGGAATGGGTTGTGTCAGTTACATGAATCTGCTAGTTGCATGAGAAAGCCAATACAAAGTCTAAAACAAAACAGCTTCTCATTGGTTCTTGTGTGGGAGTGTTCCTTGGTGACATAGCAGAATTATGGTGGAAGATTCTTGATACATACACTGTAATGCATCACAAATTGAACTAGCTTCTAATGTAATGGCATGTATGTGAGATAGGGCAGCAGATAGCACTGCAGATGGCGGCTAGGGCACTTACTGTGTGGCAACTGAACACATGCATGTTGCAAATTTGTTTTTGAATAACTATAAAAAATGGTAAACTTTCTTTGAAGTTTTTGCTGTTTGGTTGAGACATTCATAAGCTTGGTTACCAGATACCCATGAGTTTGTTGTTTATATAATGATAATATTATGATGGATGTTACGGAGATGGGTTGAGAGTATGGGAGATAGAATTATCTCCGAATTTTGTTCACTGGTGATGTTAGCAGTGGTGAACCTTCTGGTTCCTCTACTTCAGTGTTTTCTTTTAATATAATTAATTTGAACTCATAATTTTTCTTCTGAACATTCTGTACTTAAGAGATGCAGATTTTCCTTCATAATTAATATTATAGATTTTGGATGTAAGTGATACATAAATCATATTTCTCTTTTTTAGGCTCATTTGGCACTCTCAGAATTTGAGAAGAATTTGGAAGTTAATGGCAGAAAGTTGTCCTTGATTACACAGAATATTGATGGTCTGCATCAAAGAGCTGGATCGCAGAATGTCATAGAATTGCATGGTTCTCTGTTCAAGACTCGCTGCACGGAGTGTGGAGAGGTGGCAGACAACAGGAACAGTCCAATATGTCCTGCTTTGGCAGGGAAAGGGTATGGGAATTAAACTAGGGGTCTTCCAGCAGAGTACACTTGTTTTCCAAATGTGTTCTTTGCAATTTTTGACACCTCATTGTCCTTCAGGTTCATTTATTGTAGATTTAAATCTGTTGCAAAGCTAATTGCACTACCACTGCACAGGGCAAGAAGATACTTGTTCTTGTATTTAACAAAATATTCACCATATCAGAGAAATGTTTCAAATACATGATGAAAATCCTAACAAGAATAATATTATCATGCATATAGTTTTTATGGTATATCTTTCAGAAAATCGGTGCTGCTTGATTTTAGCGTAATGGAAAGTAGGTATTATAATGGACCAGGATGAAACAAATTTGCCTGCTTTCCTTTAGTGTCAGCCTCCATACATACCAAAGTTATTCAAAATCCATTTACTAGTGTTTATGAGATGTGAATAGATGGACAGAAGGATATAACCTCTGTTGCATGCACTCGGTTGAAACTAGTTTTCATTTTACACAGAGCGCCAGATCCACAGGCCACAGCGGCCCGGATACCTGTGTCTGAGTTGCCACAGTGCCACTGTGGAAGTTTGCTAAGACCGCATGTGGTGTGGTTTGGAGAGAGCCTAGACACTGCAGTGCTAAATGAAGCAGGTACCTTGAACAATAATAAGTTGTGAAGAAATTATATGCCAGTTTCTCTTTAAATGCTTCAATTACCATGGGGCTGTAAATTAATAGTTACAAAAATTTAGTATTTTTGTGAATATTTTCTACCTATAAAGATTCTAATTATATTAAATATGCCAGCCACATATAGTCTCAGAGCTGCTTACTGTCGTCATTTTTGTAATCGTTGATGTGTGAAACCATTTATGATATATATCCCTACAATATTTGACATGTCTGGGTGCAACAGTTCATTGGATACTGCTATCAGAAAGCTAAATATAAACTTAATGTGGCAGATGTGATGTTCTGTATTCTGAAAAATGTTGTTCACAAAACTTTGGATCCTGCATAGCGGCCTCCGTAGTCTAGGGGTAACATTTCCACCTCATGACTCAAGGTATGCGGGTTCAAACCCGGCATAGGTCATGGAATTTTTAAGGGCGGAAAAATTCAGGGAACAAGTCCTCCAGGAGGGACTTTAAGCCATGTGTCCCTTGTCGTAGATTTACGGCACGTAGAAGAACCTCATGTCTCTAGGAGACCTCTGAGCTAAATTAGGCAACAATTTCCCGCCCAAGTAGTTTCTAATGCCTCTGGTAGATGGGGGAAGTATCAAGGTACCATGGGCCGACCTCGTTGGCTCAACGGGGCTGATAGCACACACCAGTACCGGTAGGATATGGAGACTGGTAGAATATCAAAGGGGGACGTACAATAGATCAACAACTGGTCGCCGTGCATGGGGAAACCCACCCCCTCCAATAATAATAATAGGATCCTGCATTAAAGGGAAAATATCTTGCTCCAATCTCAGAAATCCACTTGGCTGCTATGTTGACATTGATGACAGGAAATTAGATGTTACAAATGTGATGGGGTCTTAAGTATCATTATGTTTATACTAAGTTTCATGAAAATATAATTTTATAACATAACAGATATATTTTAAAAATAAATAAACTTTTCTAGGTAAGTCTGACATACAGTGCATTTACATATATGATTATAGAGAGAGGAAATTTCTCCTCAGATGCCCAAATCCTACAGGAGAGTTTATATCCGTTGATTCATACATTATATAGCATTGAATTAGGTTGGGAAGGTGTTATAAATGATCACATATCATATTTATCACATGAATGTTACTGGATGGGTTAAGTCAATAGTAATGGAACATATTTGCATTTGGTATGTACCTAATTCAAATCCTAGCTATACTGACAGGTTTTTCTTAGTTTTAATCTGCCTGTTCTGGTCACATCCTTTCTGATTCATCATTCATGACCAGATTATCATTTTTATCCACTGTTGTGTAACTCTGCAGTTGATACGGCATCATACAGTATTCAGTAAACACATAAATATCCATCTCCCTCTGTATAGTCTTTGCCATATATATGTTAGAGGGAAAAAGACAAAGTAGTAATAGTAATCAGCCCAGCTTGTTTCTCTGGTACCTGAATTTCTTAGGTCATCACACAATTCAGATTATTAATGATTTCTGTGTGAAGAACAGGATGTTAATAATTGTTACATTTTATTTAGTTTTACCTTACTTGGTCAGTGGGTTTTTATGGCATATTAAATTTCATATTCATGTTTGTTTATTTATTTATTTCATCTCTATAGATCATTGTTACATGATATAGGACAAGTCAGTTACTGTACATTGGCGGATTACAATAAGAGAGTAAAGTTACAATACTTACAACTGTTTACAATAGATTGCAGTAGATGACAATAGTTAGAGTTTGTATAGTGTGAGGTGGAATCCATATTAGGTCCCCTCGGTACATCGGCCTCCATATGCCCTATTGTACCAGTACTGTGATTATGCTTATGGAGAATCTGATGGAATGAGGATTGGCAGGGGAAACCGAAGTACTTGGGGGGGGGGTGGGGGGGGGGAACCTGCCCCAGCACCACTTTGTCCATCACAAATCCCACTTGACTAGACCGCAGTGGTGGGAAGCCAGTGACTAACCATGGCTATGGCACGGCCTTAGAGATAACAGCTGTTTGCATCTCTGCATGTTGTTTCTTGTAGGTTATGGCAAAAAGGAAACGGTTACAAATTGAGATTTCCCTCACTTCTGCAGGGTATGCAATATTAATAGGTAATAGAATATACAGTAGTGGCTGCATATTCCATTGGTTTTGGGAAAAATGAATTCTGTCTCTTGGTGAAGACTTTAGTCTAGTAGTTTAAAATGCAGCCAACATTTAATGTAGTCCATGTTATAGAAAATTCATGGACAATTTTTGGTCTGATAAAACAGCCAGTAATGTCAGATCATGACAGGTGCATTATCTGCTTTGTGACCTTCAAAGGATTAAGAATATTGGAGGTCAGATGTTGAAGAAGAGTCAAGTTCTGAATCATAAAAGACTGTAACATTCAATATAAGATACTGACTTCCAAGAATATAACATATTTTATAATGCTGACAGAAGATGCACTGGAGAGTTGTGACATATGCCTTGTAATTGGGACATCATCTGTAGTGTACCCAGCTGCAATGTTTGCTCCTACGGTGGCTCGGCGAGGGATACCGGTTGCAGAATTCAACCTTGAGAAAACACCAGAAACTTATAACTTTCAGTATGTAAGCTCATTTTATTGCCTTTTTTCATATTGCAGAATGGAAAATTATGCATCCGTGAACTGACTTTCAGAATCACACCTCATTGCAGATGTAAACAAGAGTAGAAAGATATACAGCACATACTTCTGTTTGAAGTAAATATTTTTTTTAATATGATCTTTATTGTAGAAGTTCTCAGGTTTTCCCAGTGGTGAAAATTTAGAATGTGGAGTTTTTTTACTTATGACAGCGTATAGTCTGCTGGATGGTTAGCAGTATTTCAAAGGAACCTTCTGCTGCCTTTACAGGGTAGAAGTGAGGGTGAACACAGCAGTTTCCTCCAGAACATGGTACCCGTCTCAAACTACATGGTATCATAAGATGGAAGACCATGATCTGAACAGTAGTGTTCTTTCATCTTTTACATATCTCATTAATAGTTGAAAATATTGTTCCATTGCTAATCAGAAGTCAACAATACAGATATACTGCATGGAATGAAACGTAATAAATTTTACAAGGTGGATCAGATTTATTCCATGATATTTGAGGTCCTTGCAGCAGTGACTAGGAAGATACTGTCCTTGGGTGTGATGCTGTATAGTTGGTAGATAGGTACCATTTTAGACAGATATACTGCTCAGTTTTCTCCCTTGAAAATGGAGGTAGTACATATCCTCTGAAGCATTAGTACTTATGTACTTATCTGCGCAGCATCATTTCTCAGAAGACAGTAATATTCAGATTTATCCCCTTCAGAGTAGCTCCTTCCTTTCTGAACAGAGTGATTGTACTGGTCTTGCCAATTGTTGAAGAACATATGGTACTCTTTTATTGGGGATATTGTTCAGTTCCTGTGTCACACTTTGGACAGTCTCTGGCACTGCACTTTCCCTTTTGCTACCTTTCAGTTTGTAAGACAGAAAAAGTCAGTAGGTGCTGAAGTGACCAAATTTGATGAGTGTAGAAGCAGCGGAATGCAGTGCTTGAACTGTTATCCCCTTATGGAGACCGCAGAGTGAAGTAGTGCGTTGTTATGGTGCAAAACCCAAGCGCAACATGTTTTTCATATTCCTTCTGTCATCCGTTAGACCTTTCAGAACATTCAAATAAAAAGACACCTGACCAGCTCCCTTGCACTACAGATTTTTTATCAAACAGAAACTAACAGTTGTCACAAAATGTCTCTCCACATCCTTTTGTCCATGGTGAAGGACATGGTCCTAGAATTGTTTAAATACAGTGATATATGAAAATTTTTCATTGAAAAATGATGTTATTTCAAATGGGACAAGTATTACACTTTAGTACATTATGAAAAAGTGACTAGTGTTATAATCTGTGATTGCAGTGAAATAAAAAACTGGTTTAGTAGAGAAAGTTGTTGTTCTGATCTTGATGCGGGAGCCAGGATAGTTCAGGCAGTGTAACAGGCTATGGGCTGGACTGCCAGAGTTCTATTTGCTGTAGGGGCAAGAGATTTTCTCTATGTCACAGCAAGCATACCTACTCTTGGACTCTCCCAGCCTATTCAGAGGGTACTGGGGAGTGTTTCCCCAGGTGTAAAACGGCCAGGGTGTGAAGCTGACCACTCACCTCCATCATGCATTGAGGTCAAGAATGATGGAGCTATACCTGAGCTCCTTCATATGTTTTCATGGTGTGGTGGTTAATTAAACACAAGGACGTTACCTTTTACCTTCTCATTTTCCCAAATACTCATCTTGAACTGGTAATGTAGGATGAAGCCTTGTTAACACCTGCAGATTTTTTGGAGAGGAATACAACTAAGCTGTCTGTGACTCATCAACAAAAACAAACTCAATGGCCTGCAGTCCGCAAGTGAACTATACCGACTGAGAGACCACCAGTTTGTCGGCGAAGTTAGTGCCAACTTTTTGCAGATAGATGGTATCTCGTGGTTAGCGCAACGGATCCCCATGGCCATTAATCTCGGTTTTCTAGACCGGAGCTGCTATTTCCTTGAAATAAATCCTCAATTATCCTCATGAGGTTGAGGACCCCATACCAGACCCACTACTTCTCAAAAAATCTGGCAGCGCCAGCAGTCGAACCTGGAATCTCTGGATCAGTAGCCAGGAACTCTGACCACTAGACCACAGTCTTTTTCCGTCAACAAATGTACAGACTCACCATAGAAAGTTTGACTGAAAAAATGCTAAATAATATGGAAAGGGGGATGAAAGAAAGGACAAAAGAAACATAATGAATACAGAAAAGAAAGAAATTATGGGGAAAACAAAGAGAAACAAATTAACTTCATATGAGATTTGAAGTGCTCTCAGCGGTGGTTGTGAAGAGTTCCGTCTTCTGGAATATAACACTGTAGTCCGTTGAAAGTCAACCAACATCTCAGAGAGAACTCAGTTGGCTTTCAACAGATTATATCCCAGAAGATAGAACTCTTCATAACCACCACTTCAAATTAACTTGATGTCCTTTTGCTGTCTCCATATTCTTATAGTTCAGGAAATCATCCTTCCTAGATATTTAGCTTTTTTTTTTTCTTTTTTATTGCTAATGGGGTGGGACTAAGTCCCTTGTACTGCGGCCACATGTGGCCTATTGTACCAGCCCCAGATGATAGGTGAGGGTGATTGTGGAGCAATTGGTGGAATGAAGATTGGCAGGGGAAACCTAAGTACCCGGAGAAAACCTGCCCCAGCGCCACTTTGTCCACCACAAATCCCACTTGATCAAACCCAGGCCACCATAGTGGGAAGCCAACGACTAACCGCTTGAGCTGTGGCCCGGCCACAGATATTTAGCTTACTATAATTTATTAGGGTTTGAAAGGAACAAACTGTGGATGATTCTAGAAGAGTCTCACTAGTATTCCTTAAGGATAAATTCATATTTATAATTATTACTAGAAGTCATATGCATATCCTGGTAGTTAAAGGTAAAGTTGGCTCCATGCTTAAGCCCCACAATATGGAAGCGTATTGAGGGCATATAAGTAAAGCTCCATGCTTTTTAAATCTTAGTATTAGATGGATGTGAGTCACTAGCTTCATGCTCTCACCATTCTATCCCTGGCAAGAGAATACTAGTTACTCATTGCAAAAGGGGCTGCATAGGTCCCAGAGCCAGTCTAGTCAGGGTGCTGGAGAAAGAATTCTGTCTCTTCTGGGAATTAGATCATAACTGTCCAACCTGTGACCAGCCAGTTTTTGTTTATGCCATATCATACAGTAATGAAAGTCAGTGCTAAGCTGTAATTGTGCATTTTGTTGCAGATTCCATTTTGAAGGTCCAAGCGGAATAACAGTACCAGATGCACTGGCAGTTTGAGAGAGGAGACCACAGCATCATAAAAGTGTTTAGTCGTGTGTGTACTAATGAAGTACTGTAAATCTGTCACAAATGTAATTTTTGTTGTTGGAATTTAGTAACAGATCACAAGCCCAACTAAAAACACTGGCGACAGTGGCAGATTTTTTGAGAATAAAGCCAAAAGTGCAGGATTTTACTAAAAATGTAATGGCTATAGAAATGAAAATACAGATTCATGAAGTCTGATAATTGGTCTTTCAGAGGCTTTTTGTTTCATAATTTTTTAATTACACGTGATATCACATTTTAAAGGAGGAGTAAAAATTATAAAATTAAACTCCGCAGTGACAAATTTAAATGTCCAGGGGAATTTAATGTGCCACTATGGGAGGGATAAGAACACAGTAAGGAACCACTTGACTGGTTAACATGGCCCAATGCACCAATGAAGACCAGCATGCAAACATTCAGTTTTTATGGCATACATGGGAGCACAGAGTACAGAAGTCATGGATGTAGATTGTATGCATCTAGTTGAGAATAAGAAGAGTGAGACAGTGCAGGGAAGAACAGGAGTCACATTCTCTTCTTGCTGCCTGCATCATGCTTGTTTCTTATATTCTTTACTCATCAACCCTGAAGACTGAGGCAGTATGTGCTTCCAAAATACTGACTTTCAACAGACTACATGGCATTATAGCTCTGAAGATAAAACTTTTCAGAACCACTGTTGTGCGAACTTCAGATTCCTCACAATAATAAGTAAATTGCTTGTTGAATATCTTTATCTAGTCTTCGGATGAGTTCTCTTCATTTCTCCTATAAATTAATTGAAAAAGAAATACAACATGAACTGAATAAAATCAGCTGTGGAAGAGAGTCTAGTGAGAATGTTTTTATTTAATAAGCTGCTATAAACTATGTTAATCACATTTTCTTCAAACAAACAAAAACAAACTCTGTGGCCTGTAGTCTGCAAGCAAACTATATCGACCGAGCGACCGCCATTTGTCGGCGAAGTTAGTGCCGACTTTTGACGATAGAGGGTGTCATGTGGTCAGCACAACGGATCCCCACGGCCATTCTCGGTTTTCTAGACCGGAGCCACTATTTCCTTGAAACTGGCTGAGTGGATCCCGTTCCAGACCCACTACTTCTCAGAAAATCTGGTAGTGCCAGGAATATAAACCCGGACCTCTGGATCTGTAGCAAGGAACTCCGACCACTAGACCACAGAGGCGGTCATCACATTTTCTTCACCATTACAAATTGTAAATTAATAGCAACGTTCGTTACAGGATTTGTTTTACAAAAAAAATGTATGTGTTATAACTTATGTGGCAACACATGTTCCTTTAACTTAAATCCTGCCACTGGATATTCTTGCCTGAGAACTGCTGCTGTGAAGACATTCTCAGCATTATTTATATGTGACAACTTAAGATACTATGGACATGTTCAAAATTTAACAAAAAGAAATCAGATTTATGTTTATTGTAAACAGTTGTAGATAAACAAACAACTGAGTAAATAAAAAAATGAATGAAAAGTGTTTCAGTAAAGACAATTTTATTGTTCATGTTGGCATAACAGAAATATAATAAATATTGTACAGAGATGGCTACAGTGTAGAATCTTGATTGGTATTAACTAATTATATATGCATACGTGTTTTTTTTTCCCATTACGTGTTTCTCTATTGACAACAGTGTGTACAGGCTATAATATATGTATGGCCTTTTAGCCAACATATTCCAAACATACAAAAGTAATCATCTGTGATTAATGTATAAATATAGTTCAACAATCTCATTATGTAACTACATGACAGACAATATAGAAACTAATACAAGTCAGGTATGGTATGAACCCATGAACCAATAAAAAAATTAAGCAATATAAACACTTTAATGAACAGTGCGTTCAACATTTACCGCTGCTGTATTGTGCATATTTTAACATTTAACTGCAAATTTTAATGTATATCAGCATATCTATCAAATCAGTGTATGTTCCAAGTCTGTAATGAAATAACTGGTAAAGTGTAAATAATAATTTCTGCGATGTGTCTTCAGAAAAGACTGTCATAGTTCAGTGAATCAAAAATTCCGTGTTGGCAAGTTTAAACAGTTTTGAAAGGACTGGATATGGCTTTTCAAGCCAAAATCTATAATATAAATTTTAACATTGTATAGAAATGATGACTAAATACATATTCCACTATAAATATTATGTTTCTGGACATTATCCATCATTCTCTTTTTATTTAAAAATGTTTCAGAGACTGAATTCTGCCTCCATCTTAAGGTGGATCCAATTGATACAGCTAGTCTGGAAATAGGGACTAGCTCTATCGATTGGGCCCAACTGAGTAGGTTTTACCTGAAGACGGAGCCAGAATCCAGTGTCCAAAACGTTGTTTTTTAATAAAAACAGGATGGTGTTCTGGATAAAGATGGATAATGTCCAGAATCATAATATTTGTATTAATGTTCCATCATCACAAACTTTTAGATCTTATTTACATATTCCACTAGTTGTTACTTTTTATCAGAATACGAGTGATGTATGTTTATGGTGCACAGTACAACTGAAATAAGTGTTTCCAGTTCTGCACACGGTATTTAAATTACATGGTGATTGCATTCCAGTGCAGGCTGCAACATGCACTCAAAAACTGAACAGCTTTTTCCATTCTATGAGGTAGTCAGTAAATATGTCACAAATGGATATAAAAAGTAAAATATTTGATATTTGAACATGGACAAAACGTTTATTTCTCAACATATCCTCCACCAACATTGGTACACTGTCCCACCACTTTACCCATACATCAAAACCCACACCATAGAAGTCTTTTGACTGTTGTCTCAGGCACTTCCGCACCTGGTCGGACATCATCTGCGACTTTCAAACATTTCTGAGAGAACTACTTGATCCAGTTGTGAACTGCTTTACATGACAAACACTTCCCACCATAAACAGGAAACATTTTTTTATGAATATCCTTTGCACTGAATCCTTTTGCCCATAGAAAACACAACAGAATTCTGCTCTTCGGTAGAATACTCCTGAAGCAGTCACCATTTTGACTACNATGAATATCCTTTGCATTGAATCCTTTTGCCCATAGAAAACACAACAGCATGCTGCTCTTCGGTAGAATACTCCTGAAGCAGTCACCATTTTGACTACTAAAACCAGCCTCTGAACATTTGCATCTGCTACCTAGACTGTTACAAAGCTGGATTGTGCTGCTACCTACTGATACACATAGGGAACCTATTACATCCATTGCAGTTGTTTTACTTCCATTTGTGACCTATTTACTCAACTCCCCTCATATTAAAAACTATAAGGTGATGTGAAGAGTTTTCCTGCCGTAAGATTTCCTTGTACTGAACACACTACATTATGATCCCACCTATTCCTTGGTCTTCGATGTAGTCTATTTTGCTGTACCTGTTTTTCCCTTCATGATTTAATTACTCTTTAATATTTTCAAAATCCTACAAAACCGTGGGTACAAATTGTTGTCATGGGACTTAAGCAAGAAGATGAAGTATCTGAATTGTACAGTAACAGAAATCCCCTCGGTTTACTCCACTGAGCTCAATCCAAGTTACATCATAGTGCAATGTAGTAAAATTACTTCCCCCTTGCTGAGTGCCAGTACAGCAACTGGTTGTAAGCTGTACAGCCTAGGAATTTGGATTGAATTCCCAGCAGGGGTAAGAGATTTTTCTTTTCCCCACGGTGTCCAGACTGGCTCTGGACCCTACTCAGCTTCCGCTCCATTGGGTACCAGGGGTTATTTCTTTGGATCAGGTGGCAAGGGCATGAGTCTGACCCCTCATTCCTACCGAATGCCTGTCACGATTGTGTGAAGCTATACCTCTACTCCATCGTACACCTCATGGCATGTAGCTTAATTAAGCACAGGGCCAACTTCACCTTTTATGTGCTAAGAGTAGCATACCATATTTAAGTGTATAGGGCACTTAATGGGTCTGATACTGACAGGATACAGTGGTGAGGCACATATCAGTTCAACGTAATACTAACACTTTTGGATTTAAGCATCATTCTATTAAATTTATGATTTTCATATTAACATTTTTATTCCTTGGTGTTTCCAGTGAAGTGAAAAATGTAATCAAAAATTAACTACACAGTGTCCCCTGTAAAATTTAAATCAATATATATTACGGGTAAAATTTGAAGTATGTTTCCCAGAACAAGCATTATTCAAGGAAGATAACTTTTTGAAGATGAAATTTCTACTAAACCTTGTGCCCATTAAATTTTTTCTTTCCTCAAATACAGGTATCCCTCATTTTACAAAAATCTGATTTACACCTTACAGTCTTCATTGAATGAATTACGTTTGCAGATCTAGGGATATATGTATTGCCATATCATATGCATTTAAGTGCCAGGTTTTCTGTTACATTGTTCTAAGCATAAAGTTAAAAATGTTGTCATGAAATGAATATGTACACATCGCAATGCATATTTTCTCATATATTACATAGCAGCAAATAACGCTACAAAATTATGTGTCATGCAGTACTTGATTCTGTATATTTATATTACATGTTTAAGCTCAAAAAATTTTATTCATAAAACAACTTCTATATGCATAAAATATGACTAAATGACAATGGTTAAACACTGAAGAGAATTACAAATTAATGTACAGCACATAAATGAATATCTTTACAGAAGAATCACTGCAGGGATTAAGAACAAGGCAGAGAAGCAAAGTAAGGCATAATATAAATAAGAGAACACATACAAGAGGACTACATGTGAGAGGACAGAGAAAATGGAAAAGACCACATCATGTGATGACCTATCTTGATGGAAACACTGAAGTATGATTACAGCGATAGCATTCTTCAACTTAAGTATCATAAATATGCTTAATGTAGAATGAGGTACATACAATAAAAACACTATATATTATTTGACACAAGTCAGGAACAGTATTAGTACAGTCACAAACGTGGGTATGCAACTTATTTTTATTATACATTGTTACGTGTTTGGGGTAACAGTAGAATGACAATTACAGCGCTATCGCTGATCTCCACACTTCACAAATTGCTACATGCCAAGTCTTTATCCAGCCTGCTGTCTCTCCCACAACCATTCCCTACCAACAGCTTCTAACAGTGGAGATTCTTCAGTTCTTACTATCCAGTGAATATATCTCAACTCAACTCTCCCAGTCAGCCTGGGGTCCTCACTATATAGCCTTGAGCAGACCTAACAGAAAACACCACCTCCAACAGTCCCTCAATTGTTGTTATGGGTAGATGCCTAGCGATAGCCTGGATATTGTTTCCGCAGGAATGTGTTTACTGAGCCATGCTCAGAAATGGCCCTTTGTTTATTTGCCTATTGCACAGCAATGGCTGTACTCATTGTTTGCTTCAAGGTCTTTGCCTAGCAATAGGTGTATATGCAACAATATTATAAGTAGATTCTGTAATTCAAAAATGGTGAACTGTTTGAACTAGGGTCCATATGAACAAAATACCTTTTCTCAACTATTCTATAGTCTTTTGCTCTAATAGGCATTTCTCTATTTCTCAATTTTACAATTCATATTTTAACACTAAGTTTACTAGGTCTGAAAGATAACAAGGTGAGTTTTTAGGGATATACTGTCACTCAGAATGATGTAACAGTTCTGACAGATGCAGAGGTAGAAGTTCAACTAATCCAGTACCAATTGTAAATTTTCTTCTAATCAAAAGCACATAATTCATTTCACAAAACACATTTATGCTAATCGCCATGCTGTATTACACCAGCAATCAAGATCACTCAGTTCAGTGTATAGTATACAATAAAACTACTTTTCTTTATTACAGTGCATCAGAAGTTCATGAATTTATGTGCTAACATGCTTCTAAAGTTTCACAACACAAACATAAAGGAAGTGTCTAATTTTCTATGTTCATTAAGTGCAGAATTAATTCATACTGGTTTTAATCCAGTTCTTATACAGTACATCACATAAAGCTAAATAAACTATCTTCAGAGCTGACAACATTGAGCTTGTATAAAACATTACCACAGAACCCATGAAATACAATAAAACCACAACACATTATCATCACAAGACGAAGTTCATTTTATTTTTCCGATAGTATTCGAGAGGAGTACATCATAATGTACTTCATTGAAAAAATACTGAGATAATAACTAAAACTAAAAAAAACACAACTATTTAAAGCTGTACAACAGTTAATATTTCACAGCACTCCAAATTGAATATATACAAAACAAACATGGTCTTTTAATATCAATGATATCACATTCAATCATTTCATTTCACTTCATAACAAGTAACACTAGCACTGAGAATATACTTGCCTTCTCAGTTCATTGGACCATACTTGCGACTTGGTGACCATGAACCACCAGGTTCTGGTAAATCAGAACGGTTCACGGCATTGGACATGGATTCTCGAAGCCTCTCTCTAAATGTTTTGTATTCCATATCATTTGCTTGTCCAAAATCAAAATCTGCTACCTCTATGGTGTACCTGTAAGGGACGAAAAGATATATTGAAAAGATACCCTACGTATGAGATACATTGACACCTTTACAGTGTGCACTTAAAAAAAACATATAACACTCAGGGTGGAAAAGAACCAAAGATACTGTTTATGTTGGTTCCACTGATTCATATCTGTAAGATGGTGAACAAACGATATGGCTGTCAGATTCTTACCTAAACAGTTAGTATATTACAAACATAACTGGTAATAGTTCCAAAGGTTCAACACCATTTACCAATGCCTGCCACTGGACAAAGTGCTTATACCCTCACCATCTACATCCCTAAAATCTATCTGAAAGCCATCCTTCCACCTCCTCATCTTCAAAGTGGATGGTTCCCAACAGAATCCTCCAAAATTCTGTGTGTACTCCTGGTCCTACCCATCATAGCCTCACAGAGTTCACTAGCTTAACAAGAGCTACTGCCTGTATTCTGTATGCTTCATGCAAGAGACTGAGATAAAAGTTGAATCAAGAATGTTTTTCTTCTAAAAGAATTTGAGACTTGCATAAGCCTAATATTAAGAGTTAAATACATTACAAAATACCACTGTAGATGTCCTGAAAATTCTCCACACAGCTCAACTTCCATCACCTTGCTCCAGGGAATAATTATTTGGGCGGTCTTGAACCATCTGTTGGCCAACTTCCAGTGGCCCTCCAGTATGCTGTTTCTCACTATGTGTGTGTCCCACTGAGCTTAGTAGCTCTTGTAGAAGGGATTGCAGTCAGTGATGCCCTTCCATTCGGGATATGACCCTTCACTGCCTTGATGATGTTTCCATACACCACTCCAGCTGGAGCAATACTTAAGAGGTAAACATTTTTCCCTTACAAAATGGCGAATAGATGTGTGGCCTTCTCATGGTGCAGTCACCCATGTGATCGGTCATAGCCTCAAACATGTAGTGAAATACTGTCCAAGATGTTAAATTGTCAACTTTCAGTGGCTTCGCCATAACGGTGCTGGTCCATGTTCCCACTGCCTCCATGACATTCAGGTTGCTACTACCATTAACAGCATCCCAAACACCTGATGTGTAGCTTCCAGGTCATGTCAGGTCACCTACAGCCCATTACTGATCTTCTCCCAAAGATTCTTAGCCTGCTGTTTAACTTCTGCCATGACAAGTTCCAACTAATTGTCTAGGGTGTCAGTTATCCCTTCATATCTGCTCTGGCCAGCCTTGTTGTATATACTAATTTAACTTCTGAGTCATTCTTGACCAATAATTTTCATGTCCCTTTTTTAGTTATTTATTGCCACTCAACTACTTTAACTGCATCAAATTACTTGTAATGCTGGATTCATCTTCAAACCAACTTCTGACACCAACTGTAACATCAATTTATGTAGCAACCACGTATGCCGTCACATCAGTTCTCTGCTCACTACTCTACAGCATTACACTCACTTTTAGCAAATTCTGTTGAACTTCTCTGCACTGCACTGAGCTCCACAAAACTTTCCTGTACCGCACTTAACTGAAAACTCACTAGCTTGCCACCTACTCCTTTTAGAGGCAAATGAAAGTTTTTAGGGCCGTCTCACTCTGCTTTGTCAGCTGATCAATTTCCCAAACATTCTTGATGGCATGAGAAACACACGCAAGCCACTAAACGTGACCTCACTGTGCAGTTCCCACAACAATAAAAAGTCTTTAGGGGGCATTTCTGGGAGCCAATAATTTGAATGTTAGACTCTTCACCTGGTTTTACTGTACTTGCCTGTTTTTGCTCTGAACATAGTATGCCACACCAAACACAATGAGGATCACTGCTATAAGACTGCAGGACACTGGAACCACTATTACGGACAGCTGAGCACGCTTTGTTACTGTAACAAGAAAGGAATACTTGATTCCTCAGATATATACAGCTGACTACTGAACAGTAAATTATGTAACAGCATGCACAGGAGGAATCAGTGGTATAAAGGCTGTGGAATAAGTTCAAAAAACTTGTCACCCAATATTATATTTAAGCATCCTGTTACATTCCACACTTCTATATGTATAATATAAACTCCGTCGTAAACGTAACACTTTATTGTAGTTCTTGTCCCCCTTCTTTCACACTATGTTTCGACTGCTATCGGCCATCATCGGGTGTATTTCACTTCATGTATGTTCAGTATTCAGTATTGAGGGGGTGGGTTTCCCCATGCACTTAGACCAGTTATTGGTCCACTGTGCGTCCCCCTTTTAATTTCTACTGTCTCCATACCCTACCAGTACTGGTGCTCACTATTAGCCCCTTTCTGTCAGAGAGGTCCCCCCTCCTCTGGCAGTGGTACCTAATACTTCCCCATCTACCGGAGGCATTGGAAACTACTTTGGGCAGGAAACTTTTTGCCAAATTTAGCTCAGAGGTCTCCTAGAGACATGAGGTTCTTTTACGTGCCGTAAATCTAGGACACGGGACCCACGGCTTAAAGTCCCTCCCAGAGGACTTGTTCCCTGAATTTTTCCGCCCTTAAAAATTCCACGACCTCCACCGGTTTTGAACCCACGTACCTTGAGTCATGAGGTGGGAACATTACCCCTAGACTACGGAGGCCGCTCACGTGTGTTAATATTGGGTGCAGTGTGACAGCTACATGAAGTGAAATACACCTGATGATGGCTGATAGTGGCCGAAAGATGCAGTGTGAAAGAAGGGGGACAAGAACTACAATAAAGTGTTACATTTACGATGGAGTTTATATTATACTTATAGAATTGTCACCCAAGATGTTCATCCACTTCATCAGAGTCTGTCCTTTCCAGAATATTCACAGATTATGCTGTGCTCATAACTAGTAGTACATATTATGTTTCAGAGCTGTGTCCATCAGTTTTCTTATACAGTCATTCACCTAGTTTCCTGCTAGCCAACTATATACTTCACGCTGAAGTGAAACATAACCTTTGAACACAATTACATTAGTTCTCTTACAAAAATTGGGAAATTACTTGTACATTATCTGATAAAAATATAGGTATATTCTGATGCAATTCATGAACTGCTATCTCGAAAATATATTTGGTCATTTGCAGAAGGAAGTGTCTGTATAAAATTTTAAACCAGGATCATTTCCTTTCAGGTGATCAATATACACAGTGAATAAATGAAGGCCAAAGTGACATCCCTATAATAAAATCACATTCATTATATTTTCAGTAACTGCAAAAGAGGTCCTTAAACACATGTCAAGCAGCAATATGTAAAATTCAAAACTCCAGAAAAAAGATATATGAACAAAGTGATAGCTGCAGAAACAAAAGCAGAAGCCTCTCACCTTCATAGACATTGATTCCAACTTTTGTGACAATCTTGGACACATCATTTCTGATAATGATTAAGACAGTATACAGTGATGGTTCACGAAAATAATGCATTACTAGGAACTGGCAATGTGACCTCGATGCATAAGATGGGCAAGTCTCATTACCTGCAACAAACAAGAACTTCAGAGTTATGCATATCAAGACTGCGATTACATATGACTTTTAAGATCAAACTAACAAAATGCATCATCACATGGCTATACATCACATCTAGTATGATACTCTTAGTGTGGAGGAGAAATACAGAGAAAGTTTATAAATTTCAGTAGGTTCTGTAATCAGAAGTTAACTGTACTAATTGAATCTCTGGGTCCTAATATCAGAATATTAAATTTTATGAATGTTTTCATGTTTATTGTATTTCTAATTGAATTACTAATTGAATCTCTGGGTCCTAATATCAGAATGTTAAATTTTATGAATGTTTTCATGTTTATTGTATTTCTAATTGATGCAAAACATTCTGAACTATTGAGCAATTCGGTTTGTAAACAGAAGCTTGGTGAGCTTTAAGTGACAGGTTTTTATTCATATTTGTCTCTGCTACACAGTTACATTGGCTGGCAATACAGATGTGAACATAATTTTTAAAGTTTACTACGAAATTAGAGATGTCAAGTTTCTAGATAATAATGTGAGTTCTTTATTTAAAACTCTATATATACAACAACTTGGTTTACAGAATGAATATTACTAGTATAGAATTATACTATAAGGTTCTTTCTCTTCATTTAAAAGCATGGGATCACACTATACATTCAGATGAAAATAAAAACCAAACACAAATTTAAATTTGTGTGAGAGAGGATCAACTGAACTATCTGATTTTTCAGATTTTCATTATTGTTAACATAACACTCAGATCCAATTTATTCCAGTTTAAATTTCTGAAGCCGATAGCTGTTGCCTAGTGGCTCTGCTTTTGAGATATATTTTACAACATTCATCAGGCATGGTTTCTTCTTTCTAGCATCTTTGTTTCTGCTCAACCAAGTAGAAATGCCCCCCCCCACAACAGACAATTCAAACTAGGTTTACATTTGCCTGCACAAGTACACAGTTAATGAATTCTTGCAAATTCAGTGTACAGAAAATGAAAATATCACAACTCTTAACAATAAAGTACAGTACTACAGTATTACTTATTCTTATTCTTTCAAGTTAAAGAACAATCACAACTCAGAATTATGATATTACAGTATTAGGTCTTCACACTACCATAAATTCTGACATTCAAAAACTATGCATCAGACCTAAGGTTTCAAGTTTTATATAAAAGAAAAAGTTGATCTACCTGTGACATTATATGAGCCAGGTAAAATTCTGATGCAGTACTCAATCATTGCAGAACCATTGCACTGCACCTGAAGGTTTAGCATATCTCCATGCTGTAGCCAACTTGAACCCGACACAGAAACATTTGCTACTGGAGCTGCAGCAACAAAAGACACCAACATTTAATTTCTTGAACACAGAAAAAACATAACAAGAATGGAAAGTTGTACTCTGAAGAAATACATGTGCGAGTATTTTCCAGTTACTGCCATGTTCTACCCTATCTTCCATAACTCATTTCCATTGATTTTCACTTACTGCAAACACAACTGTGTTATTTCATTATTCATTAATTCATTTCCTTTATTTTCCATATATCCATACAAGCAAAGGTCCTAGGATGTGGAAATAGTCCTTTTGATTATAGATGTATACATGTAATAAATTACCCTGATATATTGAGAACATTTCAAATAAACACTGTTGGTCTTGGTAAGGTCTACATTCTACCTCAAGAGCCATATTTAGGAAATTTTACAATGTTTAGTTTTGGCTTCATGTAAAGTAGATGTTACTATTATTAAAACTTCCAGGTAAGTTCTAGTAGGGGCTCGTGATAGTGTAGTTGGTTGAGGCACTATGCTACAGGCCAGAAAGTAGTGGGTTCAATTCCTGATGAGGTCATTACATTTTTCTACTGACCTAATCTTTCCAGTCATACTCTGGTCCTTGGGCCCTCAGCCTTTAACAGAAATGAGTATCAGGAATATTCCTGGGGGTAAAGGGTGGCCGGTGCATAAGGCTGATCTCACTGCCATCTGTGAGCTGAGTGTCTAGAAAATGTGAAAGCCTTGATGTCTCAAAAACCCTATGGGCCTCAACGGCATGTCACAAGGATAGCTTTACTTGCTTTACAGTAACTCTTAGTACACTGTCTTCCAACAACAGAAGTCATCCAAATCTACTTAGAAGTTTTTAAGATGAGACATGATTTCCTCATTATGCATTTATTTCATATACTCTTGAGCATATTTTACAAATGAGAAAATTACTGTCATATCAAAATAACATCTGTGAAGTTATCTGTACTAATAGGCCATATGCCTCATTTGCTTGAGAAATAATGATACTTTTCTTCATTCTGCAGACAGAGGGGCAAACAGATATGTCATCCACTATATGCATTAATTTTATGCACATTTTGCAGAAAATGCATGGAGACAGGTTCCTAGTCTATTGACATTTACTGTTTTGTACCTAACAAATGGAGAAACTCTGATGCCCATGCTCGTGAACGTTAAGCATTTTCATTAAAGTTGAATACTGACAATAAAACATATAGGAATCTCACCACTTACCCTTGACAACTAGACGCCTGTGGAAGTAGCCATATGTTTTATTTGGATCAGGAGGTACAATGGATGAATTGAGGCACACATAGGGAACAAAAAACGTGTAATTTGCCAGTGTTCTATTAGGCTGATTAACAGCAGGAGCTGGAACTGGCATAACACTTGAGTTCTGAACAGGGAACATGTGCATAGCACTGCTGATTTCATTGGAATTTATTTCAAATGTGTTATTTTTCCCAGGAGCTGCAGTAGTAACAGTACTTGATGCTGTTCTGGTAGTAGGAAAAACTGTCGTTGTTGTTTTCATTGATGGTGGAACAGCAGTAGTATTAGGGGAAATGGGAGTAGTGGTAGTACTTGTAGTTGTTGTGGTAGGGGTTGTAGTTGTGATTGGAGGTTCATATGAGGCTACTACAAGCGCTTCAACATGATGCATTTTTCCAGGCTGAGTATAGTTGAAGTTGAATACATATCCTGGTGTCTGGCCATAGTAAATGCAGTCCACAAACCAGTATGTCAAAATACTTGTAGCACTGTGTTTAAGGAATGCACCATCTGCCTCTGTCAGATCAACACGGTGAGATACTTCTTCTCCGCTAGATACATATTCAGTCTCCCTCAGATGTTGTGACTGTATCAGTGACATCTGTCCATTGAGTAGAGCTACAAACAAAATTAAATACATGGTTACCAAAATGATTAATCTGTATGCAAGCATGTGTTATTATTAAGAGCAACAAAAACCTACCACTCTTACATATTCACAGCTAACTAGTATTTCAACAATTAATATCATACAATTATTGACTTTCTGGCCATTTCCCATCACCTCATTTTTTATTCAAAACGTTTCGGACACTGGACTTTGCCTCCATCCTCAGGTAATAGGCCTAATAAGTTTGGGCCAACTGACAGATAGTCCTTACCTCCACACCAAAGTAATACAATCCCTTCTGAAGCAACAGTGTTTTATTCAGTATTACTTAATAGTTATGTTGGTTCAGTGCCTTTAAAACTAAATTAATTAGAAAAGTCTTAACGTTATCAATGCATAAACAGACCTTAATTATTTAACACCTTACCTGTAATATTAAAATTGATTCTCTGGCTACTAATTGGAAAAAAGAAAATGGTAGATTTGTCTACTATAACTTCAACTTCATAAGGTCCTGGTCCATATGAATGTGCAGGATATGACACATTCCAAAATGCAACTATTTCTGGTCCCTCACTCTGCAGAATTAAAAAGAAAAAGCCTGATCAGAAGGAACAGAAAGAAGTGACTGGCACATTACTTGGACAGGATTACAAATCAGGAACAACTTCACAATACTACAGCATGACTCTGGTTTATTATTTTAATTACTGTTACTATACCTTACTTAAACAATGCCAACTAACTTCATTACATTAGATACATGATTATAAATCTGTGATTGTAGAAACATGTATGTACTGACAATCTTATTTTGTTTAAGCTGTAGATTCTTTAGACTGTGCTCAAAACATAAAAAAATGTAAACGTACATTAAAAGAACAAAACAAATGTGGCAGCTAACCTCACTAAAATGTGCAGGTATGGCATTGTCCCTCCATCGAAAACGAAATGTTCCTGATGGCGATGTTCCATAAGAAGTAAACAATTCTGCTTTAAATGTGATATTTGCACCTAATACCACTGGCCCGTTATCGGAAAGTGTTACAAAATAACTCTCACCTGGAAAAGACAATGACTCATTTTCATATGCATATTAAATGATAAACAGACTTGGTATACTTCGTAGACTAATGACATTGTTTTGTAATTGTAAAATAGGGTTATATAAACTCAGTTCAAATAACTTACCAGTGCATACATGAAGCAATAAACATAAGATGGAAAAATTTATCCTAACACCTGTCATTATGACTCCTCGAAAAACAACCATTACCACCCTCCCGTTGCTATTGCCAATGTGACCGTCGGATTTAGTAGAATTGTCCGTTCTGACCAGATTTTAAAACCTGGATGTCACAGACGTTCGAAACAGGGGTAAGAAATTTATTCTGAACTTTCGTAATAGCTAACAGATTAATATACATTCGAAGAAGTACATTGACAGTTTGCATATTTAGATATTCTTTATCATAAATATCGCCTACAGTAAATATTTGATTCTATTTACATGGAAGGAATATCTTTCGCCTCACAAGATCACTGGAATCCGACAGAATTCCCGTGACGTTCACCAGCTAAGCGGTAGTGATGTGTGTCGAATTTTGTTTTGAGAATATGAGGAATTCTTCAAGTTTTGAGAATGTTGGAATTTTTCGATAAATTTAATTATTTATTATAAAATAAACGAATTTAAGTTGTCGAATGTTTAAATACTTTGCATATTTTAAACATTTCAAAATGTATTTATACCGAATAAAGGAACTATTGAAAATGTTTAAAGAATTTTAAGAATTTCAAACCGATATCCACCTAAATTTTGAAATCTTGGAATATCTAAAAACTGGTAGAATTTTAAAAAATATATTTTCTCAGAAGTTTGAAAATATTTTAATACCTGACGAGAAATATCGAAGGTAGAAATTACCATGTAAACTCTTCAAAATGATGAGGCCCAGTTTCACGCTCTATTCGTTAAGAGTTGGTGGGATACGTCAATACAATCAAAATTAACACGGCTTAACAGAATCTAACGCTGTCGGACGCAACCGACCAACTGTGCTAACAGGAATAAGTGGAAGCGCAGTGGTGTGTTCCTCCAAATTCATTGCTGCATTTACATTCATTTTCACTTCATGGATCCAATCATCTCCCCGTAGGGCTGGATATAAAACGTGTCACATATTACAAATTCATGATGACTACATTTCATTCGTCCTTGGTCCAGTAACATATACAGAGTGTTTCACGACTTTAGGGCATAACTGTAGGAAGTGATTTTCTAGGTCTTTGTGATCAAAAAAGTTTAGATAAACATGTGTCCGATTTTGGACGGTTACGGAGTTATGACCGTTTTTTCATTCCAGTACACGCCCTCGTGTGAACCGCGTCTGTCAGCTGGCGGGTCGCTATTTTTAGCCAGCTGCAGACAGAGAGTTCTCGTTATCTCGACCCTTGAGAGGTACCTAAGGCGGGGTGGCTTGGTATGTCCCGGCGCGGTTCACAACCGAGCGGCAGCCTGTGTTGCGGCCGGCGGTGTCATTTTCGAAAACCAGCTTCAAGCATCAATAAATTAAAATTAAAGGTAATTTCACGAAGTTAACTTTACATTCATACTTTAAATGTATCATGTATTATGCTGGTTTATTATTTTGTTCCGTTTATTGTCAGTAATCGTTACCTTCTCTTCTGAGTTTAAAATGGTCATAACTCCGTAACCGTCCAAAATCGGACATATGTTTATATAAACTTTTTTGATCATAAAGACATAAGAAATCACCTCCTGCAGTTATGCCCTAAAGTCATGAAATACCCTGTATAATCAGGCCTCTCACAGACAGCTGAAGTTGTCAGGACAACACACATTGGTCGTGGAAAAACCACTGTCAAATTCACGCCTTGCCATTCCACACACACTGGCAAGCCGTTGTAACCGTCCATTCTGACTGGAGGAGTGTTGTGTGAAAATTAAATTTTGTATTAAGTTAAGATTAACAATATTACAAACAAAGAGATCCGGCAGATAGCCAGCTCTTACACGCGGAAGGGACATAGTTCAAGTTTTGCTATGTGAACAGGAAGTAACATCTGGTACTTTACTAGAATTCTGGCAGTTTCAGCAACGTCGGAAAGGCTTTGAGAAAATGAGAGCTGACAGCTTGGGACAGCGATAACTTAGAAGTGGGACGGCCGGAGCCTCACACCCTGACTGTAATGCATCAAGGGGCTGTCATCCTTAGCGTCAGGTCAGCATCTGCCAGAATCACATAGCAGAGCAACATGATTGGGAATTCAAAATTTAGGGAACCTCCTAGTTTGAAAAATTAACCAATGGCAGAAGTGGAGGAGTGGATTTCTCTTGGAGTCTGGGGTTCGTGGACCTCAGAATTCAGAGAGAGGGCATTCCACCTCGGAGAGTCTTGATACTACTTTCGGCAAAGTCGGACACTAAATTTACCACTACGGCCCTTCCGTAGAATAGTATAAGTACAGTACAAAGCAACAGTAGTAAGAAATTCAGTTGTATTCAGAAAGCCGGAAGGTATTAAAGGACTACCAAGTGCAACCGTCGAAAGGTGGGTGATTGTAGTGAAGTGTTCTTCCTGCCCTGTCCGAGCCAGACCCTTATAAGACCCTGGGATAGGAACTCAGCTCTACTGATTAAAGTAAAGAACCCAAAGAAGTGAGCGGTGGTGGAGTGGCGCACAACGAAAAGGGCACAAAGGAAGTGAGCGGTTACACCGTATCTTTAAAAGAGTTACATTATAAAATATTAAAATTCATAACAAAACCAGACGTCATACATACTACTACACTTACAACAAGCAAGTCTCAACAATATATAATTCACGCACACAGACCATTTGTTAACTTTTAACTTTTGAGACCCTTGCATGCTCGACAAATTCATAAATGGAGTAAAATACGTTACTTTGGAAATAATTTTGTAAAACAAATCTAAATTGCTTTCTATCGTTCTTTTTAAACTGTGATAGTTGACGGCAGTGTTAAATAGCTTGACGCCTGAATAATACACCCCTCTCTGATAGGATGATAAATGTGTTGAAGGAATGTGAAGGTGGACATTCCTACTGGTACCAATCGCATATACAGAGTTACTGGTTTGAAACTTATCCAAATTATTTATTATTATTATTATTATTATTATTTGCCTCCCACCTCGCTAGTTCGAGCGCCTGTAATGTAGATAATTACTGGCTGATATAACTTGAGAGCAACCGCTTTGGTATTTCCGTCAATGGCATGTCGTTCGTGCCGAGTTTCGTGAAAATCGGATAAGTTTTCAAAATCACGCAAGGGAGCCGTGATACATATTGCCTGCGGGACCTATTTCAGAGTGCGCAAATGATTTCAATTTAAAATGTGTCCACTGTACATCCAATATTCCCTGGTGTATATTATAATCTGAAACAGAAGTTTGCCTTCTACTGAACTCCATGGCCCCGCATCCCAGAAAACAGTGCTGATCATAGTCGTTGCTACCAGATCCTAAAGTTGAAAATTTTCCAGCTTATATAGTACTTTAGGTTCTCACAGCGGCCTGTATGGATAGTTATTTCTTGCCAACCCCATGTAGTTCATTGAAATCATACCGACTTTTCGAAGGAAATTTTCAACTCCATACTGTGGGTTGAAGAATAAGCCAAGGAAGAAGCCAGCACGAAGCAACAGTAAGGAAAACGGTGTTTCTCCATGCCGTGCCGAATAGAGCCGAAGTGAGCCGAGCCCAAGTGCGCTGGTTGCTACGCAGCAATAAACAACTCTCAGCAGCGTTGCCCAGCAACGCCTTTGTAAACACGGCGTCACTCAACAGGGGAGCCCGTGCAGCGACTGTTGCTAGGCAATCGGTAAACACGACATCACGCACCAGTGAAAGCTATCACGTAACTGTTTTCTGTGTTGTCAGTGCGGAAGTATTGAGCAAGTTACTAGAGACAGAGTTACCATTCAGTTGCAGTCTAGCATACGCCGGAGTCAGTTGAAGTTTAGCAGTCGCCGAGTTGAGTGTATCGATTGAATGTAAACGTAAGAGCTAGTGGAATAAATTCACTAGATCCAGAACGACGTGAAGTTCTTTGTTGCGTGACATACACCCAACACGTGACAGTATTGTAAAGTCTGTATAGGTAAATATTTTTCTGATAATTTCCCTATTCTGAATGATCTAAACCAGGGAGATACTTTATCACCACTCCTTTTCAAGTTTGCTTTAGAATATGCCGTTAGGAAGGTCCAGGAAAACCAGGTGGGACTGAAATTGAATGGGACATATCGGCTGTTGGTCTATGCTGATGTGAATCTACTGGGCGATAATATAGATATCATAAAGAGAAACAGAAAAACTTTATTTGACGCAAGTAAGGAGGTTGGTCTAGAAGTAAACACAGAGAAAACTGCTGTCTCGTCACCAAAATGTGGAGCAAAATCCTGACATAAAGATAGATAACAGATGTTATCTATTTATGTTATCTATCTATGTTAAAATATTTTGGAACGACGACAACAAACGAAAACGTGATTCAGGAGGAAATTAAGAGATTGAACTCGGGTAATGCTTGGTACAATTCAGTCAACCTTTTGTCTTCTTGTCTGCTGCCCAAAAACATAAACATTAGAATATACAAAACTATAATTTTGTCTATGGTTCTGCTGACACAGCTGTATGAAAATTTGTATCTTGTCTTCGAATTTGAGATCCTACAATATCCACTAATAAGGAAAAACTTTCAATGATCATTCTGTAAAATGATTTGCACAGTTCCGTGTCCTGATTAAATTATTTCGAAACAATATAAACACCTGAGTTTAAATTGTAGAGAAAGAACAGGTGCACCCAATGTTTTCGTTTCTCCTGTATTCTTATCTTACGCGGTCTGAACCACCACCATATCATTACAGGAAGAACATCGCAGAAGAGAAGTGCACGAAACTGGCGGGCAAACACACCCACTTGAGATCTTGTGAGCAACAGCAAGTCAGTGTGCGCCTTCTAATTTGGAAACCAGTTGCCTGCTTGAAATCGGCGATATTTCTCGGAAATCTCGGTTGCGTTGCGGTTGCCAGTTTCCTTGGTGTGCGCCCGGCCTTAACGTTTAGGCCTTTATTTCCGCAACGTGCACGGGTGTTGCGAGCGTTGCGGCGCCGAGCAAAATGGCGAAGAAGAAGGATGGTGAGAAGAGCCTACATAACAGCGAAGGAAATAAGCAGGACAAGAGCGAAAGTAACGACGAGGAACCGAATTTTAGTGATCCTGAGGGTTTTGTTGACAATATTTCAGATGAAGGTAATTTAAGTACATAATTTGGAAGCCTGGATACGTGTTATGATTACATATTGCTGGGCAATAAACGGTAGACTGCCTGCGTGTCCGGTGGCTGGGTTATAGCGAAGCCGGATTCCAACCCTGCATAGCTATTAATATCGGGAAGTAAGAATGTATAAAACGTGGCAGATCCTCAATATGCGATAAATGTATTTATGAGATATTGGCTCTGAATGTGGTTCGTCATTTGTGTACTAGTGTCAATTTACAGTCCAAATTGGAATAATCATGTGGGTGGGGTATAGTTACGCTTCCTGGACTGTGCAAACAATCTGCTTACGTTAAACATTGGTTTTTCATTAAGTTAGAATGGCCCAGTTAGGGTTTTAGTGTGGTATAGTTATTCACAGTAAGTTGGATTTGAGGTTATTAAGTCGGTGGTTGCGAAGAGCTTAACGGTTTGTAGTCCGTAGAAGGTCATCCGATGTTTCGGAGGATTATGTCGCCTCCATCTTTAAGGTAGATGATTAAGCCAAGCAAAGAACCAGCATGAAGCAGGTGGTGCCTCTGCTTGCAAATTCACTATTTGCATTGCGACTTAAATCGTAATTTGAAACCACTGCTACTTATGTGATTTCTGATATACAGAGGGGCCCAAAAATGTGTGTGCACTTCAGCATACAAAATGCCTTATTAATTAATTTGTTGGTGTACCTTCAGTTAAACTTTGAAAATGGCGAAAGATAACCCCTATTAAAGTGTGTAAACTGCATCCCTCACTTATTGATATACCATATTTATGCATGTATAGGCCACACATTTTTGGCAAAAATTCAAGAGGAAAACTGGGGTGCGGCTTATATTCGAAATCACACTTCATTTAAAAAAAAATTATATTCATAATTAGTAATACAAGGTGTTCTACTCCTGAAATAATATTTCAAGAAAATTATTTTTTCTATAATTTCTGTCTGAAAATTGTGCTGCGGCTTATACATGCGTAAATACGGTATATCATATTTTGGGTGAGATTGGTAAGTATGTTACTTTGATTACTATGTTTTATATATGGAAAAATTCTTTCTTATTAAATGTATGTGCATAAAATTATTTCCAAACATTGTTGTTGGTTCCTTGAAGAGTAAATTTCGAAATGTGAAGAACTAGCCATCAGGGTAGGTTGGTCAGTGTCCCACTGGGGGATGCAATGGGTACTTTTTAAGTTTTCCTTCATGTTATCTTTCCCCGTGCCATTTGTGTGTGCCATCTGCGTATCCTTGTATATACATATAACGTTTTGTAAGCATGAGATTTGTCATGCAATTTCATGTTACCCTAGCAGTGAGTTGTCGAGTGTTGACGTGTTGAACGAACGTAAGTAACGTAGCAATTCATGAACTAGTGAGCAATCTTTTGTTTCGGCATGTATTTTTTGTTCTGTGAGTATGAATATGGAATGTATTCTGTATAAAGGAGGCGGTTTATGATCGACTCTCTCTCTAATAGTTTGGAGGTGGCATTAAATTGCAGCCATGATGCATTATTTTACTTTATTTATTTTGTCTCTATAGATCATTGTTATATGATATAGGACAAGTCAGTTACTGTACATTGACTGATTACAATAAGAGAATAAAATTACAACACTTATAATTGTTTACAGTAGATTACAATAGTTAAGATTTCATATAGTTTGAGGTTGAATCCATATTAGGTCCCCTCGGCACATCGGTTTCCATATGTCCTAGTGTACCTGTACTTGTGATAATGCTTATGGAGAATTTGATGGAATGAGGATTGGCAGGGGAAACCAAAGTACTCGGGGGGGGGGGGAAACCTGCCCCAGCGCCACTTTGTCCATCACAAATCCCACTTGACTAGACCGCAGCGGTGGGAAGCCAGTGACTAACCCCTTAAGCTATGGTGCGGCCTTACGTGCTGAACGTCTACCACATCATATTCATATCATTGAGGTTGCCACATCTCTTCATCCTCAGTTTTTTATGTATATCTTGTAGACATTAAGGTCCAGTATATGAACAGAATAACAGTTTCACCAGTAGAGATCTTATTAGCTTCATAGTGGTGTCCCATCACCATCCTGACCGGTATATCTGTGTTAATCTTGGTATTGTCATATCTGCACATTCTCTTCAGAAAAATGGAATGTCTTTATATCAGTTCAGTGTGACACCTTGTTTGCAATAATCATCACTGGAATGGCAAACACAGTCATTTGCCTCAATATGATTGACTACAGTGCCGTCTTTTGCACCCAAGCACTGACTTATATGCATTCACCAAAATACAGTTGGTTTATCAATTTCATCATCGTATGTTATTGGCATCACTGTTATCCATGGTTCTGCAGTACTGATTCAGTTGAACACTAGTGCAAATTGCTCTGGATTGTCTTTGTCACACAGGTCTGTGGAGAAGGGATTTTCTTTCTCTGCACCAAAGACTTATTTTGTATACTTACCAGGTCAGCAGGGTAGACACCCTCAGTCCTCTCAGTTTTTTCATAATGTCTTACCTTTTGCTCCATCTGTCAAGTTTTTTGTCTTTGTGACAATGAATTAGAATCTCGCATGATGTCACTTTGCAGTGAATGTCGACAGTCACTGAATATTTTAAAATGTTTTATCTCATTATATGCCTTGTCATGGAAAACAGATGCTCTGATGTCACCATTCCGTCATCATCTCTGAAAAAGACTGGCAGCTTCCTGTACAGGCACACATTTATGCCAGAGTTGTCCATCATTGGCACCTTGCACAACAGTGGAATTTGCCTACCCAGTGGAATCTTCCATACCAGGCACCTGTATGCCTGTATGTGGAATTAATGAACTGCTTTTCTTATGGAAGAAACTCCGGTGAAGTTTCAAACTCTCTCATTTCCCATCCCTCTCTGAGTGGTATTTCACCCTACTCTCTTGAACATTATGAGTCTTCAAGTTTATGGGTGTGTGTGTTTTCATTAATTTTTTAGAGGCATCTGTACTCGTATATTCTTGTCGCATATCATTCCTAATTGATCCTCTAATTCCATTTTGGCATAACTTATGCCTGATGTTTGATCAACTTACCTAAAATATGAGAGACATCATATTTGCCATATCCATCTCTGCAGTTTGCAGAACTCCTTTCTACATGTCTGGTCTACATGGCTGTTTGCAATGATGAGTCACGTGCCCACAGTTCAACTGGTTAAGCATTTGTCTGTGAAGACCTACTTTCCTTCTGCCATCTTCATAAAACTTAACAGCATTTATACATCAGAGTGACTTGGTGCCATTTACCAAGCCCTCCTCTTCATCTGGCAAGCATTGCAGTGGGATCACCTTCTCTACAGAGGTTTTCTGCCTTGCAGTCTCTATGACCACACATCATATTACACAGCTGTGCCATGTGTTTCGCCTCCGTGATGTAGGGAAGTGTTCTTTCAGTGGGTACCTGGCTATATGGGCATGCCTTGTGAAGGTTCCACTCTGCTCAGTAGTTTGATATCAGACCAGTCTCTATGTAATGATTTTCACGTCTCTCTGATTCCCAGAAATTATCCTCATAGCAGGATATGTTTAGCCAAGTGTGGAACAGCAAATGGTGAGCAGAGGAACCATCCGTGCAAGTGTTATAAGATTAGTTAAAGGTTTACATGCTGTTGTATTGGGCACACTTGCATAAACTCACACACATTTGTTTAGTTACATGGTACCTACTTGTAAATGCTTTAATGTACCCTTTCCATTGCTCGTATCTGGGCAGAATGTCCCCATTATGAGAAATGTAGATTTTATCTTCGTAGAATGTTGCTCAGCATCTATAAGAGATGATCAGAGAAGTGAATAGCACATTCTGGCATCTGTTAATGGTATAATACTTGCCATGTTTGTTTAGCTGACTGTGTTGTATATAACTGAAACTGTTTTGTGTCACTTCAAGAATTCTTAGTCACAAGCTGGATGGGTAATAGTAGTAGTTATTTCTGAATTTTTCTTGTGATATGAACATATTTTAGATAATTTCTTGATATGTTAAATAATTTCTTTGTTAAAATAGTTGATGACCTTTTAAGTCAGAACAACAATAATAACAAAAAAACACAGTGGCAGAAACAAAGGATAAACTGTTGCCCTAATACCATATTTTTCCATCCAGTCACTGAATATGAAACAGTGTGTGTAACAAATAGTCTAAAAGGTAAATTATATGAAGGATATGATGAGATACCAGAATAGCTTGCTAAAAAATGTATAAATTATACCACTGGCTCATATTTTCAATGCCTCTTTGAGCTCAGGCACCTTCCCAGATAGATTAAAATTAGCTAAAATGATACCTCTGCATAAAAAAGGGGAATATCATGATATTAAAAACTATAGACCAATATCCATTTTATTGGCATTTTCCAAAATATTAGAAAAACCGCTGTATAATAGGCTAATGCCATTTTTAATTCAAAATAATATATTAACAGAGGCTCAAAATGGCTTCAGAAAGAATAAATCAACTGACACAGCAAGTCAGTCTTTTATTGAAAGTATACAGGAGGCCTTAGGTAATGGCCAATATGCCATAGGATTATTTTTTTATTTATCAAAGGCATATGATGTAATAGACCATGATATACTTTTAGAGAAACTAGACTCATATGGCATAAGAGGCATGCCAAATATGTGGTTCAGGTCTTACCTGTCAAACAGAATCCAATATGTAGAAATAAAAAACACTGATGGCAGTGTCAAAACCAGTTATAATTCATCATGTAGGAAAGTAAAGTATGGTATACCACAGGGATCAGTGTTGGGGCCACTTTTATTTTTACTGTACATTAATGATCCTACAGAAAATGTTCAAGGAGCAAAGCTGGTTTTATATGCAGATGATGCCAATTTGTTAATTACTGGAAAAGATGAACTGGACCTTCAATATAAAATAATGAATGTTATGAAAGAATTAGAAATATGGTTTAAAAAAAATAACCTAGTAATAAATACTAAAAAGACATCTGCCATGTCATTCAAAACAGTGGAAAGATCTGTTAAGACCACAAATAGTATTTAATACAGAAATAGTATATCAGTCAGAACTGAGATTTCTTGGAATTCACATGACAGAAACCCTAAAATGGTGCGCTCATGCTCGATTTCTAAAAGCAAAGCTATACAAAGTAATTTATATGGTGAAAATATTAAAAGAAATAATGAGTCCATATATGCTAAAAATTATTTATTTTTCGAATTTTGAGTCATGTATGAGAAATGGTATCTTATTGTGGGGTGGGGAGGGAGAAAGTAAAAGCATTTTTAAATTGCAAAAGCGGGTTCTTCGAGTGATTAGTGGTATTAGTAGTCGCACGTCATGTAGACAAATTTTTAAAGATTACACTGTTTTAACATTGCCTTCTCTGTATATATTGAAGGTGACATGCTTTATCAAAAAATACAAGGCTTTTATGGCAATAAATTTGGGCATTCATAATTATAACACATGAAGGAAATTAAATTTTCATATACAGCACTGTAATGCAGCTCTTTTTAAGAGCGTGATAAATATGGGAATTAGTTTGTATAATAAGGTCCCCATCAAATAAAACAAAAGGAACATTTTAACTCATTTAAAAAGGAATTAAAATCTTTTTTGCTGAAACATTCCTTTTATTCTGTAGATGAATTTATGTTTTCTCCGCACTAATGTGATTTGTCATGTTCTCATTACTTGCAGAACTCCTTGGGGACCTCCTTAAACAGAAACCTCGTGAAACTGATGGTGTTGAATCAGTAATTGTTGTTGATGGTGTACCTCAGGTTGGACCTGAACGTCTAGAGAAGCTGACAACAGTAATTAACAAGATATTTTCAAAGTTTGGTACTATTGTTAATGAGTATTACCCCACAAATGAAAATGGACAAACCAAAGGGTAAGAATATACGGTAAAAGTACAACTTAAGCCACTGGTTTCCTGGCAGTCAGAGTTTATTTTTCACGTTGCAGCCATCAGAAAAGCAGCATCACTGACATGAGTCCTCACTCTGTGTTTTTCTGATGTTTGGTTCAGAAAATGGTAAGGTGTAAACCCTGACTAGTACACGGCTTACGACTGGTTCAGTCTTGTGGTATTTAGTGAAACAATGCAACATTTTGGTGCTCCAATTCATGTACTCAAAATCAAGCATTAAAAAAAATACAAAATACAGATTTCAAGAATCTCCAAGTAAAGCATCTTCAGGGTAGAAGAAAAAATATATAAGAAATCTGCAAAGCGAAGAGACCGTGAGAACCGGTAAAAGCAGACGTTCCTCCGAAACGTCGGTTAACACCACATATACACGGTGGCAAATCCCAGAAGACTGCTTTCTTCATAATACTCTTCCTGTCTGTCTAGTTCAGCTAAACCCTTGAAAGAACTTTTATCAAATGACAGTTGTGCCAGTATTTTACTTTCTGACTTGCCTTGTAACTAAATTTGAACTTTGTTGACTTTACAAGTACACTGTTGCTTAGGGTTCTAGTTCTGGCATCTCCCTGAGGTAAGATGGGGCTATCTGAGGTTGATACTCAGTCACACCAACATTCTGCCATACATAAACTTTACAGAGGAGTTGGTTGTTCTGTCATGTTGGAGTTAATGTTAGCTTAGTTTAGTGCAGCTGTTTCATCAGCTTGTACTGCGTTTTAAGTAGTAAAGTTTCTTGCTGTACATGATTCTTTCATATGTATGTTGTAGCTAGGTAAGTCTTAAAAGTAAGAGCTAAAGGATCCCGACGATGGAGAATAGATATTAAAACTAAAATTCTGGACTGTATCCATCGTCCCAGTCAGTTGAACCACGACGTTTCGGAAGCTGGATCTGCTACCGTCCTCAGGTGAGTAAAATGGAGATAAAAAGGAAAAAAATTGGGAAAGAATTAAAAGGTAAGGAGGGTTCTTATGTATCCTATGCAGTTGGGTCCCTTAGATCAAGCTAATCTCAGTGATTGAGATTAGCTTGATCTAAGGGACCCAACTGCATAGGATACATAAGAACCCTCCTTACCTTTTAATTCTTTCCCAATTTTTTTCCTTTTTATCTCCATTTTACTCACCTGAGGACGGTAGCAGATCCAGCTTCCGAAACGTCGTGGTTCAACTGACTGGGACGATGGATACAGTCCAGAATTTTAGTTTTAATAAGTCTTAAAAGTGTTATGCTGAATTTCAGACTGTAAACAGTGCAGTTGAATTCATCAGTCTTGAAATAATACCTAATGAGGATTCAATCTTTTATTGAACCCCCTAAATAAATATATCTAATATCCTTCTTTCAGATACATATTTTTGGAATATAGCAGCCCTAAACATGCTCAGGAAGCTGTAAAGTTGGCAAATAATCATAAGCTTGATCGGCAGCATACATTTCTCGTGAACCTCTTCACGGACTTTAAAAAGTAAGTGGTCTAGTGTGAACACTTAATTGAAAGATGATTTTACCATAGGTTAGTTACTTGAACAGGATACTAACAGTATTTTAACTTGTGTAGGGCCAGTATAAAATGTATTCCCAGTACTGAAGTATGTTGTGTATGCATTTTTTTTGCTAGAATGTTAAAAAAGGCTGCAAGACTGGTAGATAATCATTGTGGTACAAGTTTTTTTTTTCTTTTGGAAATCAGGCTAAATCCTGAATTACACATGACAACCTGTTTTTGCTTTTCTTGATAACAATTTTGAAATTAGCTTTTTGTTTACTATTGTGAATAGATCAGGTGAGCTGATTACAGAAATGGGCAAGAAAGTTGTAACGTGCCCCCTATTTTTTGTAATCCTCTATATTTCAGATGCAAGATGTGAATATATGTCTACTTATTACGCAGTTCAAAACTGCATTGGAATAAAAACAGTAAGAATACTAAGAAAAAGTACAAAAGTTAAAAGTAATACCCCGTTTTTGCTCAAAATCCAGTACACAGTACTGTTATGCAATTGAAAATTTTTGTTCCAGGCTTGGAATTGGCATGTCAGGATTAATTTAAGAACTGTGTTTTGTTGTGTGTAATTGTCACCCTATTGATGAGTGTTATCTGTCGGGTTTTTCAACTGTCTCTGTAATTAGGCATGAAGACGTACCAGATGAGTGGGAGCCGCCTCAGCCACAGCCATACGTAGATCAGGGTAACCTTCATTACTACATGCTTGATCCTGATGCATATGATCAGTACTGTACTGTGACAGGTGGGGGCAGTACTGTTCAGATATGGCAGAACACTTCTCCAGACCCAACAAACTTGGAAGAAAGAGCGGTGAGGATGATTTGTTATGGAAGGTTTTGAGTATCATATCACTTTTATTTTATTGATGGTTTTTTCATATGGCATGTATTTGTTGTAATAATGTGTTAGTGGATTGAATTTTGAAGCTGGTGCAGTTTAATATTAGGGGCAACTGAAAAATGACAATAAAATCAGTGAATCAGATTTCTCCAACATCTAACATTTAGTTTCTGGACACATTTCTTAATTGGATTGCAAATATTAAATGTTGTCAACATTTGGATGTGTGTGTTTCTTTTATTATTATTCAAGATTTTGGGTTGTTTTGCACTGAGGGTGCAGATTGTCTGTTGTGAAACAGAAATTTTATCTTTTGAAATGTTTGGCTTTATCTGGAGTCCACCAATTTTAGATTTTGTGAAAGTTACTACTTTCATAGTGAAGTATTTTCCTTGTGTACGTAGAATGAGAGTGGGTGCTTTTCTTAAACTCTTTAATTTGAATTTGTGTAAATACAGAGTCTGTGAACTGTTAGAAACTTCAGCTCTTTACACATGCTTCCATTTAAGGCAAAGATTGTGTTACAAAATTATAGTGGTTTTCACCAGAATTGGTAGCCGAGTCATTTTGCTGTCTAGACATGACTAATCTTTGTAGAGGTTGCTTTGCTGATAAGCAGAAATCCAGTCTCTTCGAAAGCCATGAAGCATCGGCAGCTGAAATGCTTCATTGCGAGTTCACACTTCTTCTTGTATAGTGTTGTAACCTTGTTTCGTGATGGAGAAGAAAGCAATGGATTTTCATAGCCAAGCTTGCAAACAAATATACAATATTAATGAGTACTGTAAGAGAGAGACTGGATACAAAGGACCACCCTCTCTTTCCAGTAGGTCAGGATCAAGTTACTGCAGCATGTGGTATTGGAAAGAATATTGCTATGCTATCAGAAAGTGTGAACCTACATTGCGTAGCCAAGGACCAGTGGAGTGAGGCATAAGAAAACTAATGGACTTGTTTCTTTGATCACATTTTTGCTTAGAAATGTCTTTAATGCATATTCCCCTGCCCCTCCCTCCAAAGACAAAAATTGAACACAAACTCTGAAGCCACAATTGGAATTTCAGGGCTCTATTTGCTCGTTTTGTAGGATTTTGTACATTGACGGGAGAAAATTTCTATGAAACATGCTTCCTCCCTCCGCTACTTCCTTGGATCAGCAACAGCGCATCTGATTGGTACATGTGTCTGCCAGACTCTAGTGGAGTACATTGTAATGTGTTCATATGTCTTAATCTGTTGAAGTGCAAATATTTTCAAAGTGTGATGTGTTTGTTCTGTAGAGATGGTCAGAGACGTATGTTCGGTGGTCACCTCTCGGCTCGTATCTTGCTACATTCCACAAGAAAGGCGTTGCTCTGTGGGGTGGACCTAAGTTTAACCAGAAAATGAGATTCACTTATCCCGGTGTACAGTTTATTGATTTCTCACCATGTGAAAAGTAAGTAGTAATAACAGTTTTATTAGTGTTGTACAGTCAGCATCATTATATTGATCCTGTTGATATGAAATATTTGTCATTCCCTGTTTAAGTGTCTGAGGATATGTGGTGATTCACTATAGTGAGCTTCAGCAGCAAGGACATTTTAGTTGTTTCTGTTTGTTTATTTATTTATTAGAAAATTTGCTGTGATAGCTTGCAGGGGTTAATTGAATATTAGTATCAGATTTAAATGTTTTCAGGAAGTTCTGGGTTCAAATCTTGGGCTGGATACTGGGTTATCCAGACTCAGATTCTGTAGTTTTTTGTCAGTCCCTCTAAACAGATGTTGGGTTTATGCCTTAAAATAAACCTTAACCACATCTGTATTATTTTCTGTTCATTTTTAAAAAGTATCATACTGTCAACTGTTTGGGTGAGTGGAAACGGGGTTTGAATTGGCAATTGGATTTATTCACAACCTGCAGGTTGTAACTACAATTAATTATTACACTATTGCTGCTTTGCACAATACACAATCCCTCCACACTAATCTCTTCACTCTATCTGCACTAGTCTTCAGTCTCACCGAATCACACACTCCAAATAAAGCTTTCAGTTCACACAATAAGTTTTCACTGGTTGACATCTCAGCTCTCACTGACTATCGTGCTCATAGAACTTTCAAATCGCACGTTCAGGTCTTCTTCCATTATGAACCTCCCGTGGCTGTCTCTCACTGAGAACCGACTAACTCACCGACTTCTTAGGAATTCCATTTTCTCCTATAAACCCTAGCACCGACGTGCGGAAAACACAGCTTGCTCTTCTGTTTTGTAATCATCACATTTACAGAGCATTGCCAGGCAATGCATTGATTAGCTGCTGCTGAGATGTATTTACTGCAATGCTGCCTAGTAATGAGCGCGGTGCGGCACAGAGAAAACACTGCTTTCCTTATTGCTGCGAAATTGCTGTGTTTACAGATTTCTGTGGCTCAGTGGTCCTTGCATGGCATAAGTACACCACAATACTTTTTGACACTCCATAACCTGAGCAGTTGGAAACTCATTCTTCATAAGGCCAAGAATCTGTTAGTCATTCAGAATTAGATATCCAGGATAAGGAGCTGAATAAATGTTACAGCATGATGCATCCAAAATGTGTAGCAGTAGTAAATTTCATGCAATATAAGATTAGATGTCTACAAGCGCACTTTTGTCAAGGTTGAATAGAAACGCTGCTAGACTTCCCACAATTGTAACAAGTTTTCTATACAAATTTGCTGTTTTGACACAAAAATATACAGTAAGAACGATTAATTATTCATCAGACCCTGCAAATATAAGGCATTTTAGTAAATGTGAATTTCTGTGACAGCGAAAGTTTAAATTAGATCTACCTTGAAATTTTCTAGTGTTGTAAATAAATGATATCATAATTAATAATTTTGAAATGTACGTAGTAGAGTTTTGGTATGTGAGAGGATCTTTGAATTTTTTATTAGCCTGTACTCTACATAAACAGCAGCATCTGCTAGAAAAACAATTGAATTGTGACTGATTTTGCTTGCTAGGTATTTGGTGACGTACTCCCCACATGCCGATGATCACCCAAATGATACAAAAAGACTCATTATCTGGGATGTTCGTACTGGCATTGAGAAACGAAACTTCTCTTCGGATGGACCGGCAATCTGGCCCATCTTCCGCTGGTCACAGGATGATCGGTTCTTTGCCCGCATTGGAACAGATGTTCTCAGTGTTTATGAGACACCAGTATGTTTTTCTATTTGTTCATCTCATTTTTTGACAGTTGATAATGATGTTTGACTGTGTGGGTTAAGAAACAACTTTGACAGATGTGATGATGTTTTACTGTGTAATATTTTTGAACACCTTTTTATATTGTTAAATATTAAGATAAAAATTTAAGACTTTTCGCGGAGGGATGGGCATGATAAGGCAACAGGCACAGGTATGTTTTTACTTGAATATTTAGACCTAAATATTTGGAGGGTGCTAAAACTCGAAAGTTGGTGCCCTGTAATATGGTATGGAGTGAGATAATTTTATCTGGTCCATGAATAATTTACGACCGCCTCTGTAGTCTAGTGGTCAGGGTTCCTGGCTACAGGTCCAGAAGTTCCGGGTTCGATTCCCGGTGCTACCAGATTTTCTGAGAAGTAGCGGGTCTGGAGCACGGTCCACCAGGCCTCATGAGGATAACTGAGGACCTATTTTAAAGAACTAGCTACTCTTGTCTAGAAAACTGAGATTAACGGCCCTGGGGACCTGTTGCGCTGACCACATGAAACCCTCTATATGCTAAAGTTGCCACTAACTTCGCCAACAAGTGGCGGTTGCTTGGTCGGTATAGTTAATTTGCGGAAAACAGACCACGGAGTTTGTTTTTGTATGAATAATGTAAGAATATGGTTTTACTAACTGTTAACCCTTTGAAGCCTTAGTTGTGTCTAAGTAATATTTAGAAATTAATTTCCCACCTCAGAGAATAGAATTTGCATCACCATTACAAAAATCAGTTGGTTATGGTAATACTGTTTAGACAAATACTCCTTGTTTGCCCTGATCCTCATACTAAACACATAAATACAATCGGGGCTAAATGCAGAGTCTCTTAATGTTAAATCATGTGGTACATATAGTAACTATTGTGCTTGGGGCCGCGCCATAGCTCAAGCGGTTAGTCACTGGCTTCCCACCGCGGCGGCCCGGGTTTGATCCCTGGTCTGGTCTAGTGGGATTTGTGATGGACAAAGTGGCGCTGGGGCAGGTTTTCTCCAAGTACTTAGGTTTCCCCTGCCAATCTTCATTCCACCAATTGCTCAACAATCACCCTCACCTATCATCTGGGGCTGGTACAATAGGCCAGAAGTGGCTGCAGTACAAGGGACTTAGTCCCACCCCACTAGCGATAAAAAAAGAACCATTGTGCTTCAGAGGGTTAAAATTCCATAAAATGTATGTGTACAGCCATGAAAATAGCAGTCTGAAGTATTTGGTCTCCATATTTTTGGCTGCTTCTTTGATGCTTTTCTCAGGCTGTTTTCATTGTGACTGAAAGTTATAGCCTATTACATTCTGAATGTGCATATAACTATGAGAAAACAGTGGTTTTTAAATTATGGTAGATTGAAGAGTTCTGTCTTCAGGGATATAAAACTTTGTAAAGTGATTTGTAAATAACATTGGAAGCAAAGCTACAAATACAGTCACACCAAAGGTTACAAGGCAGATAATTATGGATCACTTGTGATGAACATGCGGGTAAAAGCTCTTTTTTTTATCTGATAGTTTTCCATATGTGCACTCTAAAGAAGTTGATGATTCCCATAAGTTTTATATCTGTAATGAAGTCATTGTTGTAAGGCATACTTGTTCTGTCACGGTTTCAGTGTATCTTCAGTTTCTTAAAGCGATGTCTGTTTTGTGTGTACACATTTTAGCTGTGTATGGAAAAGAGGCATACACGAAGAAGGTTTACTGTACTGCTCGAGAGTATGGTGGATGTTTTATTACCAGTTTATATTTTCAGTCTTTTGGTTTGCTTGACAAGAAGAGTGTCAAGATCCCGGGGATCCGCGATTTCAGTTGGTCACCAACTGATAATGTATTGGCATACTGGGTTGCTGAGGATAAGGATGTGCCTGCTAGAGTAACCCTGCTGGAAATACCCAGGTAACTACAGTCGTGTGTTTGTTGTATCATCAAACATATTGGTACAGACTATTCAAAGCTTTTAGGAGCATGTGGTAGTGTAGTAGGTTGAGACACTATGTTACAAGCCAGAAGGTCAAGGGCTCGATTCCCGAAGAGGTCATTGGATTTTTTTCAGTTGACCTAATTCTTCCAGCTGCACTAGGCCCTGGAGTCGACTCAGCCTCTAACAGAAATGAGTTTCAGGAACCTTCCTGTGCTGTAAAGGGTGGCTGGCACATAAAGCTGACAACCTTACCGCCATCTCTGAGCCAATTGTCTAGAAAATATGGGAACCTTGACGTCTCACAACCCTTTGGGTCTTCACAGCCTGTTTCAGGGATGGCTTTACCTTTTCTTTATTCAAGGCTGTTTCATCAAAATCAAACTCACAAGCTCAATAGTTCCAAGAGATCGTGTCAGAGCCAGCAGAACCCACCTTGTTGTCACAGTTGTTTCACTGGCAAGGAAGTGGTTAATTCTGCATGTTATATGATTTAACTGTTGTAACAGTAATGGGTTTAGCGATATTTTGCAGCATGGTTAATTATGAATATCAGCTTCATGTTTTTGTTGACCCTTGTGATGCAAGGCACTGCTTGTTTGTATGAGTATGTTCAAATTACTGTGGGATAATTTTATTCGTAACAGATGAATGCTTGTTAGTGGGGTATGGAATTTTAAGGAAATCTGTACATGGGAGAACTGAATGTTGACTTAGTAGGTCTAGCTACAAGCTAGTTAGTAAGCTGGATAGCTACAAGGTGCACCTGAGGGTTAGTTGGACTGATCTCTGAATACTCACATCACCAGAAAGTTTGTCTTCAGAGGCAGATGGGGATATTAATGTAAAAGCAATAGGCTATAGTGAGTGATCATCCTTCCTTTGAGTTGTGCAAGTGGTATGAGAAATTACACTACAAGACTACAACCATCATTTTGATAAACTTCAGCTGTTGTGTTACTATAATTGTTGAGTTTTTGGACATTCATTGCCCTGTTTTTATTTGATCATTTTGATAAACTTCAGCTGTTGTGTTACTATAATTGTTGAGTTTTTGGACATTCATTGCCCTGTTTTTATTTGATGCACAGTGTTTTGGAGACTGGATTCTGTCTCTTTCTTCAGGTAAAGCCTACTCAGTTGGACACAGTCAGTAGAGCTTGAAGCATCCCTCTTTTTCTGCCTCATCCTCGGTCTTTCTGAAGGTCATTCATCTGACATTTTCATTCTTCATGGAATGTTGTCTGCCGGTAGCACATGTCCATACTAGTGTGTCCATAACTTATTATTTTGTGTGTTTCTGCTTGTGGATCTTGCTTGATATTGTGATCTTATCCCATGTTCATTTCTTAATACTTTATAGAAAGTTCATTTCTTGTTTCTGTCCTTGATTGAGCCGTTTGTTGTTCCAGTCGTATTGAAATCCGAGCCAAGAATTTGTTCAGTGTAGCAGATTGCAAGATGCATTGGCAGAAGTCGGGGGATTACTTGTGTGTGAATGTCAATCGATACAGCAAGATCATCCGGAAAGAAAAGAATGAGGTCAAATACAGTGTAAGTCCAGACAGATTTCAATTTTTGAGTATTGTTTACCACGAGATTAACCTGACAACTTTTTGTGTAGAAGTCATGACCAGATTTCATTGACTTTCATACAACAGAATAGTTTTGCAGCTGAAATTACAGTCAGACTGTTGTATATACAAGACAGAACATGCAGACCTCTCCATAATACATTAATTTTATGAGCTTTGTATAGAGAATACATAAAAAACAATTTCTCATCAGTCTTATATATGCATAAAGTTCTGATATATGGTAGTGATGAGGTGTATGGACACAGCAGTATGATTGGTGTTTGGGAGGTTTTGAGTTAAAATTTTTGCCAGTGGCTCAGTTCTGTTGACAGGTTTATCATTCTCATTGTGCAGAGTAAATGCAGGGATACTGCTATCCTGTAAGCCATGACTGTCCTTCCAAACCCCACATACTTACGTTTATTCATCATATCAAATCACATTAAACTTCCCACCATCCAGCGTGAATGGGGAAAGGGGTCTGCCAGTTACATGAAAGGATGCCTTACAGAAACCCAATATAAAGTCAAAGCAACATGCTATATGCTATGACATCAGAAATTCATCTGTTTTTTCCTGTAATGGTACCCGTAAGGGAGAACAGTGGGTAGTGCTGCTTATGGTGGCTGTGAGAAGTTCCATGTCATGGGTGAATGTATGTGCATTGCTACTTTGTTATTTAAGTTCTTGTTGTAACGCCTGCATGACATTTCCTCTAGAAACACTCCCCCCCCCCGGAGAGCTGATTGGGGGAGTAGTTTACCTCCGGATTGTTTTGCCTCCAGAGGAAACATCTCGCATACATGGTATCTCTGTTTTTGGAAAGAGACTATCCAGGAAAAGTGATAATGTGGTAGTTTTTCCATTTGCTTTCCACATCGCAGTACAACAGCCGTTCAAACCACTCTGGTCACGCCTGCTGCTATACGAACTTTAACCATCTTGAGCATCATTTGCTCTGTGCTTCAAGTCGCTACTGATGACGCTGCTGCTGGCATCAGTTTTTGGTGTCTCGCTTCGTTTGATGCCTACCCTTTGACCTGTCCAGCAAGGGAGGCCCTGCCAGTAGCTATGCTACCGCTGGTATAGCTCTCAGTGTCCTTGGCATACTCAAACCCCCTCACCATGATAAGGTGGAGACACCAACGAGGGGGTTATTTAAGTAACTTTATAAAAATCATAATTTTTTGTCTGAAATTTTTTTTGCTGGTTGAATGAGTATTTCACATACTTGGATATTGGATAACCAGGAGTTCAACAAATATGCAGTGATTCACAGAAGTAAATTTCTCGCTTCTTATGGTGGAAGTCTTTGAGACAGTCTGTTTATGTTAACACATGACTCACTGACTGCAGATTGGTCAAGTTATGTTCAAATAAAATTTTATAATTGTCATATGAACTGCTCTGTATGTTGTTGTTTTATGCTTGCCAATGAGATAATTATGTTATTATTGTTAACTTTAAGCAATGTCTTAATTCTTCTAGCTGGATTTAATGTTAAATGGGAAGATAAGCATAAAGTATGGAAAGATTAAAATTATCCTGTACTTAAACTGAAATGCTGAAGTATTTTTGGTATTTTATCATGTGTACATATATCTTTGAGAAGTTTTTGTAAGATTATGTCTCATTTCAGATTGAATATTTTAGTGATAGTAATTGTGCAATACTATTATAAAATTTCAGGGCATGTATTACAACTTTGAGATTTTCCACATGCGTGAAAAACAGATCCCAGTGGATAGTGTGGAAATAAAAGAGGCCATCCATGCGTTTGCCTGGGAGCCTGTTGGTTTCAAGTTTGCTATTATACATGGCGAAGGCCCAAATATTAGTGTCAGTTTCTATGGAGTCACGACAGGCCAGACACCAACCCTCCTCAGTAAGTACGTCTTTATAACAGACATAACAAAGATATTCAGTGATATTCAGTGGAATGTTCTATTAAACGGATGGAGTGCTGTTTTATAAGTAATAAACAACGTGTTCATATATATTTTTTTTTTCACTGCAGTATATAATAAAAAAGGTATTATTGTAATTCCAAAGAGAGATGAAATGACAGGAGGTTGGAGAAAACTGCATAATGAGGAGCTTCATAACTTGTACTCTTCTCCAAGTATAATTAGAATGATCAAGTCAAGGAGGATGAGGTGGGCAGGGCCTGTAGCATGAATGGGGGAGAAGAGGAGTACATGTACGATATTGGTGGGAAAGCCAGAAGGAAAGAGACCACTTGGAAGACCAAGGCATAAGGGGGTGAACAGTATTAAAATAGATCTTAGGGATATCGGATGGGATGGTGTGAATTTGATTGATCTGGCTCAGGATAGGGACCAGTGGAGGGCTTTTGTGAACAGGGTAATGAACCTTTGGGTTCCATAAAATGCTGGGAAATTCTTGAGTGGCTGCAGAATTGGCGGTTCCTCCAGAAGGGCTCAGCTCCATGAGCAAGTAAGTAAGTACTCTATATTAAAATGAATTACACAAATCTTTTAAATAACGCCTCAGCTTTTGCAGCATTAGGCAGGCTGTTTTCCGAGTTTCTTTTTCATTGCCTTTATACTAGGGAGTTTGAGCATTGGAAGTATAATTTAATTTGTATGCATCTCATGTATGTAGTTGCTTTTCATTCTATGCGTCCTGATCTCTTAGAGCATTATATAAGGTAAAGTTGTCCCTGTGCTTAACTAGTTAAGCACTATGGCATGAAGGCATGTGGGGGAGTGGATGTATAGATCCACATTTTCTTGATCTTGGCACTAGTTGGAGGTGAGTGGTCAGGTTCACGTCCTGGCCGCTTTGCCCCAGAAGAAAGAGTTGCTGGCACCCATTGGATAGGAGGTTGGGTGGACCCAGAGAAAATTCTTGACCCTAATGGGACTCAAACTCAGACCCCTTGATCATCCAGCCCATAGCCAGTTGCTATACCGACTGCACTATCCTGCCTCCTCTCTCAGAGCATTATATACCTGACTCTATTGTTTTGTAGTATACCATAATGGGTGTTCTTATGCATGTCATAACCTTTGTACTGTAGTCTTATAATTCATTATGATGTATTTTGATGATCCAGGGCGATTCGAGAAGAAAGCCTGCAACTCACTGTTTTGGTCACCATCTGGTCAGTTTATTGTATTGGCTGGCTTGCATAATCTTCAAGGTACATTGGAGTTTGTGGACACGAATGATTTCAGCATCATGAATTCAACAGAACATTTTTCATGCTCTGATGTTGAGTGGGATCCTACTGGTCGGTATGTGGTCACTGTAGTCTCCTGCTGGAAAGCAAAGGTCAGTCAACTGAATCATGAACAGTAAGAGCTTTGCCCCTCATATAGAGTAGGGAGACACAAGATCAGTAAAGGGGCGAGAAGTACATACACTACATAATCAGACTGTGAAACTCCCATTTAAGGTTTCTTTTGGGAGCAGTGAATTTGAAGACTGAATGAACTAAGGAATAAAATTGAAATACTTTGGCACTAGGTTATTGACTAGGTATCTTTAAAACTTCAGCATTAAATGAGTAAAAACATTAAATTTGAGCTCCACTGTACTTCCTAATTGCATTACATGATTAACAGCTTCTTGTCAGCATCGTTGACGTTGTGCAGAGGTTCTGCCACTCGATTTTTTTGTCTGCATCTTATGAACAGTGATTTCTCTGACTTCACACCCTTCACGTATGTTCTTGATACTGTACTGGGCCCTTTCCATTTTATTCTGTTTTGCTGTTAGGAGAAAGGCAGTTGTTATTGCACACTTGTCTGAAAGGCCATACTTGCAATAATTGTCTTGAAGTTGTGTACCTTTCCAATTATACACATATTTAATAATTATACTTTTTATTTAAAATTTGACATAGCAGCTTTTACTGGTTCTTGTCTGCATTTCAGGTTGATACAGGTTTTTGGATCTGGTCGTTCCAAGGGAAGATCTTGAAACGATTTAATAGTGAATCATTTTGTGCACTTCAATGGAGGCCTCGCCTTCAATCATTGCTTAGCCAAAAACAGCAGCAAGAAATTCGGAAGAATTTAAAGAAATATAGTGCCCAGTTTGAAAGCAAGGACCGCATGCGTCTGTCTAGGGCATCAAAAGTAAGTTCTGTGTAATTTGTATACATATGTAGTAAAAATCTTGTACAAGTTTTCCCATACCACATGTCAACATCTTCAGTATCTCTCTGTATCCACAGCATTAATTTGCAGTGCCATGGCTTTTACCCTTCAGCTTTTCTGCTGTGTGGAGCAAATTTTCCCATCCATATGATTTAAATACTAAAGGGAAGGTATTTGTTTGAAGGTGTCTTACTGTCTATGGATGTACAGGGTGATTCATATAGAACCGGCCCGACAAAATGAGCTGTAATATAAAATATACCATACAGATATTAAAGTAATTTACACATATCTTATCTTGGATTGTGTGCTGTGATCAGAGCAGGTGTTGAAAGTGTCCCCTGTTTTCAAGTAGGCATTAGAAACACTCGCTGTTCAACAGTGAACTCCATGACTGTCTCCTGCACACTGCAGACACGTTTCAGGATTGTCCTTGACCTTGCAGCATAAGGGCTGCCACTTGCCGGATCATGAGCACACCATTCGACTCAGCACGGCCCACGGATTATTATGTCACAATTGTGAGCGGTTATATGCATCACCTGCGGAATTATTAGCAAATTCATTGGGCCGGTTCTATACGATTCACCCTGTAGTTCATAACATATGAATCATCACATGCTCTTTCTTTGTGTGATTATTGTGATTGCATTGGAATGAGATTTGCTCTCAAGCGTCTGGCTCTTCAGATAAGTGCAATATACTGTAGTGCGATGATGAGCAACTTATTTTGCCCAGACATTACATGTGGTGGCAATTATGGCTTAATCTTTTCTGAGTATTACAGTTACTGCATCAGAATGTTGGAAGGGAAGAGTATACACATGTTCCTTAATTTCACAGTAAGCATTGCAAATAGACAGGGAATGTTTAGAGCAAGGTCTCTGAGATAACTGTGTCAGAAAGGAATACAGTTTGGGGTGTGATGTTTTCACCTTATGTTGAGTTAACTGCGTTAATAGGAGTGATGGAATGGCCTCCAAGTCTTCAGTATTGCAACAACTAGTGTATTGCCCGTTGAAAATGGAATGCAGAGTCTTAACAGACTTTTGAACCTCTGTCGCCTTACTGCTTTTCTGTCATTCCGTTTCAGTCCCTTTTATTTGTCCATTCTAGCATCATACCTGTCCCCCTACCTTCCACCTTTCCTTTGTGTTGAAACAGTTGAAGGAAATATCACACCTTAGCCAAACTTTCTAAATTTCAAATGTAAATCTCTAAAAATACTGCACTGACACATGCAATTAAAAATTAATACCGTACTTACGCTTAGAACAAGACTCTTGTTAGTTTTGGAGTGTAATATAACTTTGATTTATCTTATTTTAAAACAATATAGATATTTCTCAGTTTATGCCTGTACAGAGCAACAGTCAACTGTATCAGTGCCATCTGTCAGATGTTGAGAGTACGACATTCTCTGATGATGTGAACAGTACGGATGTGACAGAATTCTCACACCTATTCAGTGATACAATCCATGGTAGAAAAAGAACCCCTTGGTACTGATTACAGAACTGTTACCTTGAGTGGGCTATTATAAAGTAAAGAATTCTGTGTGTTCAACAAGATCTTTGGTATTGTGCTGTGTTTTTGGTAGACATTGGTTGCTGAAAATATGATCTAGTAACTTTCCGGTAATGACACCACGATATGCATCAATCTTTTGTGGTGACACACACTGTAAATGTTCTAGGCACATAATACCTCTGTACTTTCATTGGAAATGACTACTCTGTGGGTTCCAATGAGGACTATATTAGGCATGTGATTACATTCAGCCATTTCGCTTCCCTTGCTTCTTGCTCCCCCTTTTGTAACCTCTTTATCATCTTCTCCAGCTTCATCTTTTTGGTTCCTAGGCACTTTGTAGCAGCAGGCTTGCTCACCCGGTCTGGCATGTTCCTCCCTCTTACACCCTTGTCAGGGGCTACAGTGCCTCCAGAAATTTTGTGCTGTTGTCTGTGTGATTACTGATATACAGGCGGTGACGTGGCATTGCCTGGTATCCTCCGACATGTTTCATGCTCTGGTTTCTGAAACTAATGGGCTTCAGACATCCTGTCATGCTATTAACACCAAGGTTGAAAGGGTTTTGTGAGTTAATATGCTGAATATTCATATTGTACTAACATTTCTAAAGCTGACAGAACATACTACTCAATAGGGTTTTTATGTTCATTGAAGATATGTATATAAATTTTTTCTGTATGTGGGAACAAAGAGAATACACGTTGGCACTGTGAAATGTGGGCTGGAGCCAGTTCATGCATGCCTCTAACATACAGTTAACAGAACTCTTCATTTGTTAGCAGATATGATAGTTATCAGAGGAGAGCAGAGTACAGTATGTGCAGGTTTTCAAATTGGAGAAATTGAAAATTTTGCTACCATTTGGGAAATTGGTGGTCAAAACATGGTAGATGATCTGGGTGGTGTATGGCTAAGAGACACGGCCCATGACCAAGGTGTTTGAGTGGCATCACAAATGCAAGGACAATTCTGATTTGGAATGTAACATATACAGCAGATTGAGATTTTAAAATGTACCTTCAACAAAGGGAAGGAGGCTACTTGTTTGAGCAGCTCAGACACTTCATTGACCGCTGCTACTGTTATCAGTTTAGCTAGCATGAAATTTCGCTTGATAGCACATGTTGCGTAGAATATTGGCAGCGACTAAACAGTTAATTGTTACACATTAATTTGTCACCATTCTCCTCCTCCTTCCTTTTTATTTATTTATTTATTTTTTATTGTTATTGAATAATGCTTATATAGGAAACTAATATTTTACAAGGATGCTCATGTTATCACCACTAGTAATATTGCCTCTGTGTGTTTGTGCATGCTTGCCCAGTTGTATTTCCCCCTCCCCACTTCCCCAATTGCTTTAGCAGAATACCACATATAGACAAACTCACCAGTCTACACACTTCTACCTGAAAAATTACATTACATACATTAAAGATATCAGCAACATCGCCCACAACCACACAGTGTAACAGCCCAAGAGCAGAATTAACATCAGTAATTTAATTAACCACTGCAATAACCTAAAATCAGGAAATACTGACCTTGTGATTGTTTGTAGAGGGATGACTTCAGAAGTACAAGTTTTAGTGAATAAGCCTTTCAGGACTCATTTGAAACTGCATTTGGTTAGGGACTGTATTCTAGTACCACTGGGAGAAGTAGGAGGCCCTTTGTGGAACTGCTGTGCTAGTGGATAAAGGCCATGACATCAGACACCCCACAATTAATGATGTTAAAGGGTTTAAGAAATGTTGTATATCTGATGAAATGGAGGTGGAAGAATGTGGGAATGTGAGACAGGCAACAGGAATGGTGGGCAGAGTGAGGATGATGTAGCTAAGTAAAGGCTAGTGAACTCAAGAAGGAAGCTGACTCGTTAAATTTCATGTGTAATATGTTTCCTACTATTTATTTTCTTTTGCATGTTTGCAGCAGTGGTATAAAATTACTCTTTCTGTGGAGATGTATTTCATACTGCAGGGTCATCGTCCATTTGGTTTAATATGGTAACACACTGAAAAAATTACTAGTGTCATAAATTATTATAGCGAAAAAATTGATTTACTAGAGAAGATTCTTGTTCTGATTTCAGTTTTCAGAATTTTTCCCAGTACTAACTCAGTCTCATCCTGAACTGGAAGTCTTTCTTACACATGTCTACTATATAAGGACAAAGTGCCAGCTTTCAGTCTTCAGTTATAAATAATAATTACATGGCAGCACACATGTACAAGATAAAACCCTATTGAAGAAGTGGTTGATTGTCTTCTGTATATATTGTGTAAAAATGGTGATGTTTGTTGTTGCCAAATTTATCAGTTTGCGACATTGCCCACTTATAATCTACCTTTATTTTTTAATAGTGCGAGTGACGGAAGAATGTACCTATAGCTGGTAAAGTAACATTATTTTGAATGTGAAGGGTGTTGCAGCTTCATTGAATCCTGCTATCATTGTTAATATTTCAAGTGTTACATAAGTACATCTTACGTGCATGGAGGTATTAGTACTTTCATAAATATAGGCATAGAATGTTGAATATGTTTCATGTATTTTAGGAATTGATTGAGAAGCGTGCGAAGCTGATGAAGGAATTCCAAGAATACCGGGCAAAGCGTCTAGAACAATGGCATAAAGAGAAGACACGTCGTCTTGAATTACGTAACAGTAAGTAAATTGCACATACACTTTATTAAAACCGTCACAACACAGCTATATTAAGGTCAGTGCCAAGTTTGGCTCTGCTACATGTTTTGGCTACCAAAAGCCATCAGGCAAATACATGGCCAACATATATACACCACTGAAATGCAGTACTAGTAAAATTGGATACAATAATATTAATTATATTGAAATACTTGGCTTGTTGTTTACATTCCCTACAGAATGGACAATACTTTGTAAGATGAGGCACTGACTGAATAATTAACATTAATATTACTACATCTACATCACGAGCCTCCAAAACAGTTTATTATATATACACAAAATATAGAATACTCCAATTTGTCCATGGGAACAGAACAAAATTGCAAAAACTGATGACTGACTCGATGATATAAAGCATCACTTGAAGAATTTTAATCTTGTTTTATACTATGACTTTCGTTTTATATAATCTAATTTATTGTACCTTAACGCCAAGTATTTTAAGATAATCAATATTATTATATCCAGTGTTACTAGTACTGCAGTTCAGTGGTGTATGTATGTTGGCCATGTATTTGCCTGATGATGGCTTTTGGTAGCCGAAACATGTAGCAGAGCCAGACTTGGCACTGACCTTGATATAGTTGTGTTGTGATGGTTTTAATAAAGAAATTATATATTATAACACAACAGGATGCATGAAATGAAAACTCATGAGAGATGTTTATTCTATAGCTATATTATACAAAGAAATCTGATTTTAATTTTCATATTTAATTTTTCTGTAAGTTTACGGAAGGAAAGTGGATTCATATATCTGGTCTGTAAGTATCTAAACACTGGAGAATTCTCTTAGTCCTTTGGTGGAACTATACTTGCAAGAACAACCAAGACAGCAGTTCTTGTCTGTGGCAAGGGTTTATGAAAGACTGGACTTTTGCATACAGGTTTTTGCTAGTCTTGTCTTGTCATTCAGTCTGTTGACCTAATTCTGTGGAAACTTAAATGATCATGAAGTAATGTACAAGTTTCTTTGCATAACCCTGAATATAAAGCTCTTTCTTTCATTCTTTTGTGAAGCAGACAGAAGGGTGGAGAAATATACATGTTTGTCCTTTGTGAAATTTGAGGTTATCAGTTCAGTGAATATGAATATTATTGTCTTCTGGGATATGATACTGTATTGTTTGCTAGATGGTTGTTAGTGTTTTGGTGGGTTCTATCCTGAAGATGGAGGTAGCAAGTACCTCCAGCTTTGGTAACTGTCTACCAGGTAGAATGTTGTTTCATCCCAGAAGGTGGTTATCGTCATATTTATGCTTTATGCTTATGGTAATAACATTCTCTGGAAATTGTATCTTGTTTGTGTGATCCGCAGAAGTACCTGTTAAAAATGAAAAGTATTGACTCACCAGTCAAATATTATGACCAATTTTTTTCTCCAGGATCTCTTAATGGGCCAGTTAATTGAAGGGTGAATGGGTAGTAAAACACTCACTCAACTAGCAAAATTTAAAAAAAAAAAGTGATAGCATCTTTATAAATTTATTAAAAAACAAATTTGTAGCATATAAATATTCACCTGCCACACAGTAGTTCCCCCAGCTACCACAAATGGTATTACCCATTGGCCTCCCTCATTCAGGCGCCTTTACGAAAGAGGCTGGTTGAATTTGTGATTGTGTTACGGTATGTATATATGAAGTCTTTCACCCATCAGTCTGCCTAGGATAACTTTTGTGCAAGAACTGAAGCAAAAATGTGTTACTTTGACTTTGCATTGTTTTCTTTTTTGGGGGGGGGTTAAGAACTTTTCTCATCACTGGCACACTTCTTTGCACATACGAGGGTCAGTCAAAAAGTTCCCGGAATGGTGGTACAGCACTCTAATGGTAGGACATACGGCAACGCTTATGGAATCACCTTCGAAGTAGGACCCTTGTGCCTGGACTGCACTCACTTGCTCTATCGATCATGCCATTGTTGGAAGCAGTGGTGGAAGGCTTCTTTTGGAATCTTACGGAGCTCAGCTGTTGCATTTGATTTGATGTCCACCATGGTTGGGAAACGTGTCCCCTTGAGGCCCATTTTCAGAGTAGGGAACGTCCAAAAGTCACTCAGAACGAGATCTGGAGAGTACAGTGGTTGAGCGATGACAGGAATGTTTTTCTCGGCGAGGAATTGCTGCACAACAAGTGATGTGTGGCTCAGTGTGTTATCGTGATGCAGAAACTGCTGTCCCTGCCACTTGTCGCGCTGCTTCCTCTGAACTGCATTGTGCAACCTCTGCAAAACTTGCACGTAGAAATGGCCAATAACAGTACCAACTTCTTGCGCCAACTCTGCGATGGTCATTCTTCAATCACATCGAATAACTTGTCGCACTTTCCGGTCATTTCTTCAGTTCTGGATGTCGAAGGTCTTCCGCTGTGCTGGTCATCCCCTAACGTCTCCTGCCCATTCTTAAACTGGGAAAACCAATTGTAAACTGCAGATTTCTTTAGTGCAGTATCACCGTAAACTTGCTGCAGGGCCAATAGCGTCTCTGAAGCAGATTTTCCCAATTTGCAGATGAACTTGATGTTGCTGTTCAAACTGTGACATTGCGCCGAATGACCAACACTCACGTCTAATTCAAACGGAACAGTAATGACACTGCATACTGAAACCTGTCCAGACCTGTTGCGCCTGCGAGCAGACATGCTGAGCTTCCCACCACAACAGTGTGTGCACTATCTTATTGCTCGTTCTCCATCTGCAGGGGAATTCCGGGAACTTTTTGACTGACCTATGTGCATACTATATAGTGGCGAGTTTACTGTCTTGCAGTTGGAAAAACTGGATACAGATGGAAAACCATGGTTGGCAAGGGATTGCTGTATTTGCTTGCTTATTATTTTATCTGCAATAAAATTTCATTATTTTCAAAATATGTAATAACAAGGAAGTCATTTTGATATAGTGTGGGGATGTATTATAATTTAATTATAATTGTGACTATAATTCTTGGAGTTCTAAACGTGCAGATAATGTATTTATAAAACAGTGCCCCCCAGATTTATATTACCAAAATTTACCACTTAATGCAATCTGCAGATGTTTATTTTGTTATCATGGTATTCTTGTGGAGCCTTGGATAGCATAATTGTATGAATGATTGTATTAGGGGTGGGCCTTCTTGGCCCTTGCACCGCGACCTACAGTGGTCTATTGTGCTTTGTATAGCATAGTTGGTATAACAACTGGCTACAGGCTGGATGACCAAGGGGTCGGAGTTTGAGTCCTGGTAAGGTCAATAATTTTCACTTCTCTGCATTGTTGAGACCTGTTCTGGGTTCTGCCCAACCTCCTGTCCAGTGGGTACCAGGGGCAAAGTGACCAGGGTGTGAAGCTGACCTCTCACCTCCAACTAGTGCTGAGGTCAAGGAAACGTGGATCTGTACATCCACCCCCCACATGCCCTCATGGCTTAGTGCTGAATTAGTTAAGCACGGATAACTTTACCTTCTATGTTTTTACCATGGTATTCTTGTTCTTGCAAAAGCAGCAGCGGAAGAAATGAATTTCCTGTTGTATGCCTATACACTTCTTATAGGTGGTCATATATTTTATATTTCATATTCTACTGATAATTATGTATAAATCCAAGTGGACATTGTTTTTGTTAGTTCTACCACTGCCTTGCATCTGACTACAGTGCATGTTAAGTGTACATCTTCATATTTACTAAACCAATTTCTGCCTTCCAGAACTCAGATCTCAACTTTGCCTCCAGATGGCAATAAACATAAGAATATTTCATTTATTTAAAATGTGAAAAAATGATCGATGTTACTAACACATTTTTTTATTATTATTATTTTTATTGCTAGTGGGGTGGGATTAAGTCCCTTATACTGCCGCCACTTCTGGCCTTTTGTACCAGCCCCACATGATAGGTGAGGGTGATTGTGGAGCAATTGGTGGAATGAAGATTGGCAGGGGAAACCGAAGTACTCAGAGAAAACCTACTCCAGTGCCACTTTGTCCACCACAAATCCCACTTGAGCAGACCCGGGATCAAACCCGGGCCGCCGCGGTGGGAAGCCAGTGACTAACCGCTTGAGCTATGGCGCGGCCTTACTAACAGATACTTTGTGACATAGTAAATGAAACAATATTGCCAGTTTATATGTAGATTTTCATGTGCAATATCTTTACAGTGCAGATACTGATGATATTTTGTAAGAATGGTACATATGCGGACAGTCTGTGATGAAACATATAATTATGGCAGAACACTGATTTAAGAGTAGTATGAATAAGGATCTCAGATATGTATTAGACACACAATTTGGAATCCTGTATGCATTGGAGGAGTACAGAATGAATGAATACTGTGTACATTATCATAAAGAAAAGGTTTGAAGTTCTTGTATTTAGTTGGTTGAACGTGATCTACAGATTATGACTTTTATGCGAATATGTTCTGTATAAGTATTTCTTGAGAATTACTGTAAATTATCTTTCTTTTTCAGACATTTACAGATTATGACTTATGTGAATATGTTCTGTATAAGTATTTCATGAGAATTACTGTAAATTATCTTCTTTTTCAGACATTGACACAGATGAGCTGGATTCAGACACAAAGAATGTTGAAGAGGAAGTGGTTGAATTTTTCATCAAGGAAGAGGTAACAGTTATTTCGTAGGAAATGTGTGGTAGCGTTATTCAACTTGTTCTTGGAAATCTCTGCAGTTATTTCATAGGAGAATAAATAAGGACATCAGATATAATTACTGTTATTAATAAACTTTAAACTGATTCTTCAGTGTATATTACTACCCTTTAAGAGCCTAGCAACACCGTATGGAGACCTTTTGTGCCGAGTAGCCGTGCGACACCGTATGGGTACGCACAGTCCATGCGTGCGCACAGTGTTTTAAAATCTAATTTTAAGATAGAAATTCTTGTTCTACTTAAATTATTTTTGGGCACCCGCTTTATAAGTAGACAGTCTTCCCTCCTGCGTCATCTAACTGAATGCAGAGCCCGACCTCGCAGTTCATGCACTTTGTCCGGATGTAACTCCATTTCCCACGCAAAGAGCACACACGACACCTCAGTTTCGTATTAGAGGAAGTCGGTCAGTGATGTCGAGTGGCCTCCTCTAATCGTAATGCTTATAAAACATCGCAATTTCAACCATCCACCATGGCCTCATTTCGCATGGAAGAAGCCGAAATTGAGAGGCAGCTGATAATACACTTCCCATGCTTGAGTGTGCGTGGGGCGAACGTGGGATGAAGGATATTTTTCCAGCTTGTATAAATGACACCGATTCAGACTGCGGGTACAGACGACTCTGAAAGTGGCAAGGAAGCAAGGGGGCAGTGCAGGGCTATTCCAAGAACAGTACCTCTGTGTGGCTAGTCCAAGACATACACAGTCAGAGTTTCTGAAGGACAAAGTACGATAAGACTTTGACCATAGTCGTGCATACAGAAAGGTTCCGATGTAACTGGAGAATGTGCAATACAAACACACACTTCCTCCCCTTTTGCCAGATAAGACATAGTAAGACAGGATGTCAGCAGCATGCATTTATACTGCAGAAACGTTTTGTGCAGAAACTGTATGCATATTTGTGGGCAGACGCTCAAAATTGGGAAATTTTTTTTTTGGAATCAGTGTAACAATTTTTACAAATTTTAAAATCTGTAAATTTCAATATCTGATTCTATATTCTTTCTAGATAAAAGCAGCATTTATTTCGTTCGTTTATCACAAAAATTGTAGGAATCACAGCATTTTCAGTAACATGCTTACAATTTGTAATACTCTACAATGGCGGGCATTTAAATTAACTCCGGCCCGCCGCCATTACCGGAATTAAAATGGCCCGTCTCTTAAAGGCTATTAATCATTGGGTATAACTGGTATTTTCTTTACTGCATATAATCATATAGTACAGTTTGTGATCTTCCTTGACTCCTCTAAAATGGTGGGTCATGACTATATTAATTGTAACACTTTCAGATATTTTTGCTTAGTGTTTTTGTTTGTTCTTTTTTGGATATCTTTTAATCCACATTCTGTGAGTATACAATTTAGTATGTATTGTGGAAAATTCTTTCATGTTCACTATAGAATATGTCATATAGCAAATAGATCAAGTTTTAACAAACCTTGTTTGTACTGTCATTTATGAATATGTGACATTAACTAAAAAAGTAAAATGTAGATAGTTTCTAGAATTGAGACACAGACATCAAAACAGAGTGTGGAAACATTCTGGTAATAATATGGTTCTGTCATTTTTATATATACTGTTACCATGTCTATGTACTTCCAAAGGGGGACAGGTAATTGAATAAAAGGGAAAGTCAGCAAATAAGTCACAAATGGATATAAAACCTAAAACATGCGATGGTTGAACCTGGAAGAAACATTTCTGTAATATGTGATGTGTTAATTATTTTTATTATTATTAATTTTATATATTTTGACAAATTATGAAATTTGTTTACTTAAGAGGTGTTATTTGTATAGCTCATATGGTGTTAGTATCTGCAACATGCAAAATATGCTGAGCATGTGTAGCTTATTATGGGTGTTCTGTGTTTGTATGTAAGTTATCCCTACTGATTCTATAACTGTAATACTTTTCGAAGGTATTTAGATGTCTGCCCTTCTTTCCTGACACACACAAAAAAAGAGTTGGGAGTATATAAATGACTTTCTTTGGATGTTAATTACATTTACAGAGATGTAATTCAATAATGACTGCATGTAACATAAAATGTGTTTTAATTAGCAATTGTTAAACACTATAGTTTAATCTACACTTCTGTACTGGCAGACAAAATGAATAACGTTATGATAGGTGACTATTTCTCTTGCAGTCAGTGTGTCATTATTTTAACCTCTGAAGTGTGAATTTCTTCAAAATAATGTTCAGAGATTCAGTATCTGTCTTGCAGGACACACACTATACCTCCATTATAAAAATAAACCAATTAATGCTGATTAAGGAAATCATCACAGTTTATTGTAAGAATGATACAAAACACATAATTACAGTCTGTTGGGAAAGCAGCTTGTTTACATTATGGTAAGTAACTACTGTACCCAAGAAGGTTATGTTAAGGTCTATTTGAAACACCTTGCTTATGTTAGAAAAAATGTTTACTCTTCATATTAAGTAAATGCAAAAATGCATATTCTTCTACAAAACATATTCATTCTCCTATTGCATTCTGAGATATGAATTTTGGTAGTAGCACCTTCATTGTAACTGGAATATAGTTTGTGCTTACAGTGCTAGACAGCAGAAGAATGTGATATGGCTTAGCCTCTCTTGGCATTAAGGCCATTTGCCATAGTTGATGAAGCAGAAATCGATGAAGATTTTAGCTTGATGAAGTTTGAGCTCCTAGGATTGTTTTCTGCCACAGAGGAAGTTGCAACTTGGTTGAGGCTCAGGTTTTGAGCAGTGTTTCCTGCAGTAGATGAAGTTGCAGCTAGGTTGGGGTTCAGGATTTGAGCAATGTTTCCTGCAATAGATGAAGTTGCAGGTTGGTTGAGGTTCAGGTTTTGAGCAGTGTTCCCTGCAGTCGATGAAATTTCAGTTTGGTTAAGATTTGGGTTTTGAGCAGTGTTTCCTGCATAATATGAAGTATCAGCTTGGTTAAGGTGTGGATTTTGAGGAGTGTCTCCATTATATGAAGTTGCAGGTTGGTAGGGGTTTGGGTTTTGAGGAGTGTGTTCTGAAGCAGTTTATGCAGCTTGGGAAACAGCTGCTTCTGAAGCAACAGAGGATGATGGAAAGGAACTTCTTGCGGGGTAAGTTGGAACAGGGGATTGGTAAGAGACCAATAACTGTGGGTTGTAATATCCTGTTTGCACAAGGGGGACTGCAGGCTGAATGGGGAGCTGAGGAATCACAATAACAGTCTGTCTTTACAGGGCTGCCAATTTTGATGTTTGATATAAAGACTTTCTATCTGAGCTTGAAGGTGTATTATCATCACTCAGAAGTAGAAATGATGTGTTTGGAGCCTGGATTGCCAAATTTGCATGTGCCACTGTCATACCCGAAGGAGTGATATAGTCTGATATAGGTAATTTTTGTAAAGATTCTGGGGTGTTGATAGCATTGAATAGAAATGCTGTCCTTATTCCAGTGCTGGCTTCGATATCTTCAAGAAGAGGTATTGTGTTTGGTTTCCTTCATGTGGGAGAAAACAGAATAGGCATTAAATTTACAGTACCTACCTACCACTTGGCGCTACAGCCCTGGGTGAGCCTTGGCCTCCTCTACATCCAGTCTCCACAGTCGATGCGTGCTGCCATGAAAATGGATCCTTGCATGATGACTTAAATTTACAGTAGTGTTTCTCAAATTTTCAAATTGTGCAGATATGTTTATTCTTCATTTTTGAAACCTATAAACCATGAAATCTGAATAAAGAGGCAGGCAGGAAAATGCAGAGTACAATTTTAATGCATTATATTCATACAGTAAAACTGTTACTTGGCAGCTATAATTTTCGTCCTCCCCCATGCTAGATTTTCTTTGAGGGCTGCATATGGCTTACTGACCAACATTTAAGTAATCCTGCCATTAATTGTTGGATGTGTTAAAAGAATCTTCCCACCATGAAATGTCTGTTCTTGCCAGGTATAAGAGATGACATGAAAACATTATTCTTAGACTTTTCGTCAGTTATGCCTTGACTCAGCCCAAGAAATATATTGAATTTTTGTTTGGAACTAGCCTAATTTCCAGCTGAAATGTTAAAAACGTTCCCAACAATATTGAACTGACTATAATAATATTCATATTTGTTTACTTTCATTTTGGCCTTTTATGTTATTTCTAACAGGCACAAAATTGTACCTGGATGATGCCAGAAATATGAAATGGCTACAGAACAGTTCATTGGACAACAGTTCTTTGCCAGTGCAATGTAGTACAGCCTTTTACATGAATAAACATTGATGATAAGTAAATGAAAACCAGAGTAATTTGACTTCTGCAGGCTATTGAATAATTTGAATATCTATGAAAAATCAGATAAACGTGTAATGTTTTATATTCTTTTATGCGGAAGATTACATTGGATCGTTGCTCTTTAGTTGAGACACCTATGTGGAGGTGAAAGGTAAACACTTAAAGAAGTCAAAAAAAGGCACTCAAGCTGAATGCTTTGGGTTAAACTCACATTGAAAATAATTTTCTTGATCATCAGTATTTTGTTTTTGTAGATGATGCGATGGAAATCCACTCCACTGAATATCTAAATAATTTGTAGCCTCCGGTTAGCAGCGACTGCTTTGTCAAGTGGTAATAGTACATGATTTATTTAATCCGTCTTGCAGTGCATACACTCATTTATTTCCTTCTCTCCCTCGCACTACATGTTTCGGCATAATAATGCCATCTTCAGGTGCTTACTTATCCACGTCAAACCAGTTCATTGCATGCCATGTTCACACATTAAAATAACTAAAATATGTATCTATCATATACATTGTCAAACGTTAAAAATATTAAAATTGTTCAGGATACCACATCGCTACGTCGCCCCTCACTACATCAGTCACGCCCATACTGAACAGTATAACACACGCAGTCGCAGGAGCACGACACAACAAAAGCACAACACACAAGATAGTGAAGGAGTGCTCCAACAAAGGAGAATGGGCGTGACTGACGTAGTGAGGGGCGACGTAGCGATGTGGTATCCTGAACAATTTTAATATTTTTAACGTTTGACAATGTATATGATAGATACATATTTTAGTTATTTTAATGTGTGAACATGGCATGCAATGAACTGGTTTGACGTGGATAAGTAAGCACCTGAAGATGGCATTATTATGCCGAAACATGTAGTGCGAGGGAGAGAAGGAAATAAATGAGTGTATGCACTGCAAGACGGATTAAATAAATCATGGACTTAAATC